TACCGTAACAGCTAACAGTGGTTAGTAGCAATGAGATTGACCAAAAAATGTCTCTCACAGAACCAGAATCAGATATTCTGTCATTTGTCAGGAAGGAGCCAAATTGTCACCATTTCAGCACTATGCAGCATGTAACACTGACTTGAGGACAGTGGGAGACTTTTTATTTGCTAGGCTGCTTGTGGAGCATCTGCTGGGATGGCTGGGGTTCGCTCTTGCATAACTCATATCCACCTCCTGTAAGAGATTCTGGATTCCAGTTTTGGAATTGCTTCCATGAAGATATTAATACTTACAACTTAGTTATTGTACAACTGAATATTTTTTGGACTGTTATGAGAATAGTATCCGATGTCATCAACGGATGTTATGAATTTAGAGTATTAAATACTCTAGGAAACAAGGAAAAATATGCTTCTTAATCTACTATCTTGGGGTTCTTCACATTGACTCAAAGTTTTTACTAAATGATGCATATGGGCTTTTGATTCGTGTTGAACAGAGAATATAGAGAGCGACAAGAATTGCTACTAATTACTTGGTAGCTAATTTGAATCCCAGTAATTATGCTCTGAAGGAATCATGTCTACATACAGAGGTGCACATACACTACATGTTTCTGAAGATATTTTGGCAACCTGAATGCTTTCCTGTGTATGTTACTGTCATTGCATGCATTTGTCATTTGCATATTTCCTGCTATTTTTACAATTGTGATTCCATCATCATTATGTGTTAATTTGCTTTGCATACTGTAGTACACCTTGGCACAAAATATAACAAGAAATATTTGTTCAGAACTGCCTACTAACATCCACAGTTTTGCACCATGTTTTTTTTTTAATTTTAATTTTTTATTTTTTCCTTAAACACAGAACTATGGTTTGCTTCCAATGCATGGTGCAATCAGTTTCACACTGATCACAGTTTTGACATTGAAGCTTTTCCAAAGTTAGGATGTTTATTTGGAGCTTTAGTTGCAATCTGAAGAGATGGAAAGAGGAATTACAGTTTAGGAAATGTGCTATTTTTATTTTTTTTTTTTGTAAGCAGCAATAAATACCAGCAGGTTGCAAACATTTTAATTAGTGAATCAGAAATTTTGGCTGATCATTGGTTAATCTTTTTTGAGGGTTAGGATTATTTTGAGAAGAAAACTGCTATATTAAGCTGTGATTAAGAAAAATATATATAAGTTACTGATTTAGAGTCTATTTGAAGTATTTAAGAAGTAGCTTAAATTTACGGAGAGATGAGGTGCTTTGCTGAACTAGGTTCTCAGTGTAGCTGGCACATGGCTGACAGAGAGGAGAATAATTAAGCCAGTCTCTGTCCTTGTTTACCTCATCTCAGTGCATCTGTTGGGCAAGTGGTGAAGGCAGAAGCTGCTCATAAAAAAATAAATATTCTAGCTTTGCTCTAACCTTGTGCCCAGTTACCAGACTTGTAGCAGTAATACCAGAAGCACAGCTGACATCTTCAAAATCATGTAGTCCCACGGGGGACAAAAAATGTGAGAATGGCCAGCCAGTGCCCATGTCTGAGACATGGGTAGTGTTGGAATCATTGCTGGAAGGTGAGGGGAGAGCAGTTTGAAGGCACAGCCTGGCCACAAAAAAATACTTGGACTTGCAGTTTTGTCAGCAACTGTCCTCCAAAGATACTACTCAACCTGCCCCATCTCAATTCTATTCAATACTTTTCCTACATAATGTGCCACATACTTGTGTGTGTACGTGTTAAGCAATATTACTGAAATTGTAAATAAGTTTGTGTTTGGATAGTATATGTTTTTTTTCCTTATCTGGAGGAAGCAGATGTTCACTGTTGTCAATCTCTCTGTTACTGAAAATTGTGTCAAAATCTTAGTTTCCCAGATGTTATTATTACTGGTGCTGGCTCGACATAAACAAATGTTAATTTATCTCTTAGATTAGCATTTCCCTTGTAAAGAAGCATGAATATTGCTTCTGATTTGTCAGTATACTATATTAATTGGAATTATTATTCATAATGTGAACTGAGCTGATGTATTATCAGAGAGAAGTGCCAGAGAGGGTAAAAAATCAGATACACTCACTTTAAAATGTCAGTACCCAAAACAGTTGGCCAATGATGGGCAGAAGTTTAATGTTTTCATCTCCAGTGAAAAATACTCCTCAGGTACCAGGAGTTTGTTTTCATTCTTTGTTTCTAACATTTGTCCCCATCTCAGCACCCTGGTGTTTTTGCACAATTTCTCTTTTGTGAGCAGGGCATTTTCCTGGCCTGCTCTTACTGCTTGCATTTGATATCCTACCACTGCCCAACAGCAGCTAATCCGCTATCATGTCAAAAAAAAAAAAAAAAAAAGGGCTTTTACACTCATCAATCACTCCTGAGTATTTGCAGTGGGAAGTAGAACTGTTCACATGCAGTTTTGGTAATCTGATCTCTGTCTGCAGTATAAAAACTGGGAATTAAGCATTTATTAAAATCATAATATGCAGGAAAGGTTTTTGTTTGTTTGTTTGTTTTTAACCTATTGTTCCTATTATGAGTTTTTTAATAACAAAATCCAGTGATCTTAATGCATATGCTTTCTTCATTATTTTTTTCTTTTGGGATGAAATTAAAAATCTGTAGGACTAAAGTATGCTTATCCTAATATTATATATTCCATTATACATTGTTATCCTAATACCATTCATAGATTATTGGGGTCAAATCCTTTTCCTACTGGGGAAAGATCTCAAATGCAGAATCCAGCATTTTATTTCATTCTTCTAGTGCCAGCTTGTGAAGATGTTGTAATTTAATATGTTCTTTTTTTTTTAAATACTTCATTTAATTTTTGATAACACAAAATACTGAATACTAATTAATTTGATTAATGATTAGGACTATCTGTCTCAGCATGCCAGTTATCAGAAATTAATGTGAAATTTCAGGGCTCGTCTGCAGAAGTTGTAATGAAACCTGTTTCCTTTAAAAGTTTCAGATAAAGAGGAATTATTTCTGTACCGAAAAATCAGTAACAATGTGGGTCTGTGTGTACTAGTCCGGGTTTATTGCTGATGTAGTTAGACAGCCTTGTAAGATTGTTTAAGCATTGTGTGGTATTTTGGCATTTATGATGTGATATTTTGGCATCTATGATGCTTGTGATTATGGATTTCTCATTAATCAATATTTTGGTGGTTTTATTTCAAATTGTTGAAATACACAGGGCATTTCTAATGCAGCAACTCTCTTTTATTGGCAGCATTTTATTTATATGTATTTTATACAAGTGCTTACAAAGCTTAGACATGATAGCTGATTTTACAAACTTACTGAAGTCTGCTTACTAAAGTCTAATGATGAGATCTGGGTCTTTGTTAACATTAATGCCTTGCTTTATTAATAAACCCAAAACAGTTTTAGAACTGTTTCAGAAAATACTGAAATCCTAGCAGGGCAGTAATGCATATATAGAGATTGCATATAGTTCAACAAATGGTTATTTTTATCTCGTTTTTTAGCCACTTTTGATTTCTTCATTATATATGTTTTGAAAAAAAGTAACAAATAAAACAATTAGTCTTTTAATAAATACTGCTAATGATCTGGATTCAGGAAAGTGCTACCTATTATATTGTTGTTGTTATCATTATTTTACCATAGTATGTTCGTATGATATACTGTTAGTATTTTCAAAAGACTCATCTGCTCTCTGTTCCCTTCTTTCCTTCTGGGTCTTATCCTAGGTAACAGCAAGGCTTGAGATCTTACTCTGTTTCAAATAAAATTGCAGCACTGAAAGTATGCCTGATGTATCCTCAGTGTGTTGGAAGCAGCACTGGGGAGGCATCATGGTTACTGCATGTGACCCTAATTGTTGAGAAGTGCCACTTGAAAAAAGTGTACATTTTAGACGAGAGTAAGAGCCATCACTTGGATCTAACCTCCCAAATTCAATTTTTGCTAGTGCTATAAAGTTTTTAAAGACTTTTCCATCCAGTTTTGAAAAAGCTGCAGTGAATCTGTCCATGCACAAGCAAGCATAGACATGTGGTCATGTAAGCTTTGATAGCTGCTTTGCCTAAGTGTCTGGCCATTTAGTATATTGGGACAATTTCTCCAAAGATGGACAGAGACATTTTTAAAAGAGAAGTGAGTTTCTTCTTTACAGGAGTGAAGAATTTAGCTCTGAACAAGAAGTTGGTATGCCTCTCTACCCTACCTGTAGCTCATGTGGTTTGTACAGATCTGTTCAAAGAGGTCAATTAAATCCTGAAGCCCTTTCTCCATGCCCAATCCTGCTATATCAGCTCAAACGTACAGGTACTTTATAGGTGATGAAAGACTCCAAATTTTGCCTTCTCATTTGCACCCCCATGGGAGAGTTAGCTTTTGTGTTACTGTGCTAAAAATGTTTGTCTGCCACTTCAGCTGAGTGAAAAATCTGTCCTTCTTAAGCCCTGCCTGTTCTGATGCTCATCAATGAACAAATTAACTCATGTGTATTACTTTGCTTTAAATGAACTCCAGATGTGATATACAACAACAATTTGTTGAATATGGTTAGGTTCCAGTGATGGAGTAATCAACTTTCAAAAGAAGCACATTGGAAAAAGGACCTTGAAAAGCTAGTTTGACCCCAAAGCTTTGTTTTTGAGTTTTACTTAAGGCTTACTGCCACAGTTTCATACAACCATGGAAATTTGTGTCTAATTTTGACTGGCTTACCATGGGAGTAGGCATTTTATTTTGTATTTAGTTTACATTGATTCTCTTAAACATGCTCTATACTAGCAGATTTAATATCAGCCACCAACACTGTTTTAGTGTGTCAGCCAATGTGTAATGCTAAGGGAAGGTTTTAATAAGTACTTAATCTTCTGTTCTGGGAGTACATTGAGTTGAAAGATGTTCATTTATGTTTAGAAGTGAAAAATGTCCTTCCTTCTGTTTATGGTGAAGCTGATTTTTTTATCTTTTACTTGATTTTAATATTTAATGTTCTTAATTTCTTAAAGCCAAAGCCAACTGAAACAGTCACAACTGATGAGTCTGGGGTAAGATTAGTAAACTGACCCCGGTGGTTTTACCTCTACTTGAGTTTATTCTTTTTACCATGTCTCTATTTTCCACCAATTTTTTATGTAATTTTCATAACTGTCCTACTACAAAGGTGTATGCAGTGGTTTGCATTTGTTGTCAATGTACTATTGAAGTCTACTACAAACAAACCCAACATGATCCTTATTAACAAACCAGAAAACTTGGAAATGCATGTGATGTGTGAAGCATTTCTACAGGTCCTGTGTTTTTAGCATGTAATTTTTCCTTTCATATCATTCTTATCAAGGTGAAAAGGTCCTCAAGATACATTTTCAAATCTTACCTCTTCCACCTTTGCATTTGATGTTGTTTATCTGGAAGTGTTGCATGTTTGGGTTTGTATTTGGTTTGACTTCTCCATGATACTCTTCAGAACTCCGAAGACAGCGCTAGAATCTCCATCACTTTTTTCCGTCTTTTCCGGGTGATGAGGTTGGTGAAGCTGCTTAGCAGAGGAGAAGGGATCAGAACTTTATTGTGGACATTTATTAAGTCATTTCAGGTTAGCAAAATTTATTTAAAGTTGCTTAATTATTACAACTATTTACATACCAATTTTTGTGATATAATACATTGTAGAGTGCAAATAACATTTCTTTTGAAATTCATGCTAGCAGTAATTAAATTTCTAAATTCATTTGCATGTTAAAGCTAAAAGAAACTTTGCCAGTTAATTCAGTGAGACCAAGGCTCATTCTTTGTCATATAATGTTAACTGTTACAATGAGATTTTTACAATACTTCATAAGAAATTATTTGGTATGTCTAAAAAGGATTTTTTGTGAAAATAATAAAAAAAAAATACAGGTTTGACACACACAGGTCTTTTACTTCTACGTATTTTTATTATATGACTACAAAAGAGAAATTCAATCTTTTGTTTGTATAAAACTGATTTCATAAGTGTAGCAAATAGATATTTCATTCCTGTCTCCTGAAAATTCTGAAGAATGTGAAGTTTATGTAGTATAGTGGGAAGTACATTTGTGTTGTCAGAAGTAGTAATGAAAATAAAATCTGAAACTGGTAAAGATGGCTCTTCCCCCTGGATTACTGGCAGAAGTAATTTAAAATATAATGAAGTTCATGTTCATTGTATGTGGCAGATTATTAAGAATGACAGGTAATAACATTTTAAGCACTTGCATAAGAAGAAAACCGCTGGGAAGGCCTATGGCATACAGAGAAATTATTTTGTAAATGTAAATTGAAATTATGGTGTGAAATTATTAAAGGACAATGCACCTGTCCCTTTCCTAGGCTCTGCCTTATGTTGCCCTTCTGATAGCCATGCTGTTCTTCATCTATGCTGTCATTGGAATGCAGGTAATTATAGGGTTTTGTTTGTTTGCTTGTTTGTTTGTTTGTTTCCTTAGTATTAAACAAAAGCTCAGTGTTGGCTACTTTGAGACCGGTTGAGCAAAGTGCTTATTGAAATGTTCCTTTGATAGTGGTGCTATGTATGAGGCAGAGCTTTCAGAGTAATGTAGAAACCTTTTATTGGCTATGATTTTGGCAGTCAGAAACTCCAAAAAGGTAAACGAGAACTGGGTGTGAGCTTCTAGTATCTTCATTTGCTGAGGGGAGCCATTCCTCTTTTGTATACTTTGAGGTTTATTCTTCCTGTGCATGAATGTATGAAAGAATGCATGGATTCTTTACTTTATTCCCAGATTTGTTCTGGGAATATGGCATTAAAATCCTAGCTTTTTTTTTTTTTTTTTTTTTTCTTTCTCCTGTCTTCCATGAGAGAAATTTAGAACAAGGAAAATAATCTAGCTAAGGATTAGAAAAAGGTTTTCTTTTGATCTCAGAGTTGTAAGGTTCCCAAACCAACTCAAAGGGAAGCCCTAATTAAACATGATGAGATGAGGAAACGTGATATGGAGTGTAGATTTGCTTCCTGATTCTTAATCTTCTTTTTTAATCTGAAAAGAGCTTATATCCTTACAGTCCAGCAGCTTGTATACAGAGCACAGTGACCTTAATCTCTCAAAATGAAATAACAGCCCTTACTGTGTCAGTGTATTAATGTGAGGAAAAAGAATGGTCTTGCAACCAAGGAATTGCAGTTTAATTTTGGAGAAATGAACTAATTTCCGTCTCTGGCTGGGACAAAATGCTCAGGCTGGGACTCTATGCTTTGGCTTCAACTTTTGCATCTAATGTGTCTGTTTAGATTCAAGGTTTTCAGAACAGCAATTATTTCTTACTACAGATATGCATAATATCTATTGTAGTGGGGTTTTAATCTTACTCGAGGACTCTAGGTGCCAGTCTAAAGCAAATATTTTGTCACCTACAATACAAGAGAAGGTATTAATGTTATGACTTAATGATGCCAAATTAAAATGAACAATTATTATCTTGTAGTTGTGATATATTTACTGCATTTATATTGTCAGGAAAAATCTCATGACTTACTCAAAAGAGTTAGTACATTTGTGAAAGTACTTTTAATATATACTGAAGCTGGTTTAGACTACAATGGCTATAGTTTCTCCCAGTACATGTTGCTAGGATGAAAGTCAAAATCCTGTTTTTCTGTAGGTATTTGGAAAAGTGGCCATGAGGGACAACAATCAAATAAACAGAAACAACAATTTTCAGACATTCCCCCAAGCCGTGCTGCTCCTCTTCAGGTGAGTAAACATGAACTCTTACTTAATGCAACCCGTTTCAGTGGTCTGTAAGAAATGTCTGTAACCCTTCTTCTGTGGATTTGTTCAAAATGTGTCTGCAAGTAAGAAGCAATTTCCTATAACAAGCATGTACTCTCTACTATGTATGCTGAGTGTCCACTGGTACAGCAGGGCTCTATTCAGGTGCTGCAGGCCCAAAGTCATTACAGCTATTATGGAACAGTGTATTTGTGGAGGAACTGTCTTCAGGTGGAGCCTAAATAGTCATCCCTGATGGCTCTCTGCAGGTGTTGGGGAAGGTGAAAAAGACTTTGCCCTTATTTTATTCTGTGGAAGCACAGGCAAGCTGGCATGATGGTTTGAAAAAAAAAATAAATAAAAAAAAAAGGAAAGGTTGTTGCAAAGGTGAAAACAATAAACTGTTCTTTATATTTTCCAAAGAGATGTCAAGAAGTAGTGGGGTGTAGCTCGCAGAAGGGAGATATGAATAGGAAAAACCTACTGATAATAAAAATAGCTAAACCTTGGTGTAAATGATCCTGGGGGATTATGGAATTTTCATCAGTAGAGAGCTTGAGAAAAGGGTAAACCTTTGCCAGGAGTGGTGTGGTTTCATCTAGGCCTTCTGTGTTGCTTTTTACTCGACTTTCAACCAAAATGTATCATCAGATGTGACAATTCTTCCACATTCACCATGGATCTAAGCCAAAACTGAATTTGTTTATGAGATATGCAGAACATCTGCATATGCAAAACACATTATAGATCAATAATTCATAGACAGCCTTATTTCGTTTCAAAAGTACACTTTATTCTCTGTTAAAAACAATTTATTTAAAAATCTGAGCAAAAAATACAGTTCTCAGATGACCCCTTCTTTCAGTTCATTGCTCTCAAATTGCTTTGGATGTTTATCTCAGATTTCATTATTTAATTTAGAAAAGCTTGGAATAAAACTTTTGGAATGTTGGGAGGGAAATAAAAATTGTAAACTAACCCCAAATCATTTTCCAGTTCTGCCTTGTGGAAAAATTCTTATCATATTGCATGAGATGATTGACTATCCCCAGATAATAAGCTGAAGGTTATATAAGCTGAGGGAGAGAGTGTGTTACTGAAAAAATGAACTTAGAATCAGATAGGTTCAACATCTGTAGTCAGCTACAGTGCTCTGTATCTGTAGACCCAATGAGGGCTAAGTCACTTTATGCATGTGAAGACTTGCCTTTGCAACTAGGTCATAGGTAAGTGGTTGTTTTTAAGTATTTGAAATCACAGGTGTGTATACAAGCATTACCTAACTATGAAAAAAAAAATAAAAAGAAAAAAGAAAAAAAAGGCAACAGCAGAAATAAGAGAGAAACATTTCCTCAGCCATGGAGAGAAAAAAGCAACTCAACTTTTACTTTTAACTTTTATTACATTTTTTTTTATACGATAACTCCCCTTCCATACACTACAACCCCACTGCAATAGGTATTTAACTTGTAAATGACAGTTTGGAGTTCAAATTTTTACATGTGAGCCTTTCTGGTGTACTATTGAACCTTATAAAATTGCCTGCAGTGTCAGATCTAAACTTTTCATTTCTGAAACATGCTCTGTAATTTCTAATTAATTTCTGCTTTGAGGAGTTTGAGTCCTGTCTTCACATTTGTGCGTGTACGGCTCCAAACATTTTATCAGAATGTAACAAATTAATACATTCTACTTCATTTTGATCAAATAATACTTAATTCTCTTTGTGACCTTATGAAGGTGTGCAACTGGAGAAGCCTGGCAGGAAATCATGCTGGCATGTTTGCCTGGAAAACGCTGTGATCCAGAATCCGATTATAATCCAGGGGAAGAATACACATGTGGAAGCAATTTTGCCATCATTTATTTTATCAGTTTTTACATGCTTTGTGCGTTTTTGGTGAGTTCAGCTTGTGCTTATTAGCAGAAATAAGTTTCAACATTTTAAATTTATTTTCAACTAAAAGAGTAGTAGGGTCAGAGAAGAATTTAGAATCCTATCGCTAAAATATTTTTGCAAGGTTGTATTTTTCATACATGCTCCTAAATCCTGTATCTTATACTGAAGGCTAATAAATTCGCAAAATGTTCTTCAGACTACAGGCCTCCCTGTGTACAGGAAATGGTTCCTTGGACATTTGAAAGCTGTTAACCTTCTTTTCATCAGCTATTATTTAATGCATTTTTCAATAATGTCATTAAATATTCATTAATAATGAATCTGCAGTTCATTTGACTTACGAGTATTATATAAACTTATCAGAATTTGGATATGTGTCTCTCTAAAGTGTGCTCAGACTGTGGTGCGCAAGATGCAAACTATAAACTTTCTTTCTAATGATGGCATAATGAATTATTTGCTCTAAAACAATCTGCAAAAATCCCTTTTTCCTCATTGCAGGTGTCTTGGCTAAGCTGCTTGATTTGTTCTGTTCTCAGTACTGTTCTCCTTGCAAAAGGAGATTGGTCAAACAGAATACTGGACCACTGTAAACATACCCCTTCTCTTGTGTCATCTTTTATGTTGATGAAACATAGGCAGAAGTCTCAATGTCATATCAGTGAATCCTGTAAATATGAAAAGTGTTTCCTGAAATCTATACAGTGTCAAACATGTTGGATCCATTCTTTGATCTGGCAAGTCAAGGAAGAGAAACAAAAACATTCAAAAGCCTATGTCAAAGACTGAGTATTATACAACAGAACCACAATCATTTGATTGCTTGATAGTTCCAGTTAAGCAGTTAAATGGTCAGCAAGTATTTTTTTGTGATATTCAATAGTATTTGCCAAAAAACATTATTTATTGACTTATTTGAATTCTAAAGCTCCTACCTCATAAAGTTATTTATTGGAAATATTTGTATTTCCAAAAAATTCAAGTAGATCTGTGTTCTTAATTTATTTTTTATTTTATTTTATTTATTTTAATTTATTTTATTTTAGATAATAAACTTATTTGTGGCTGTCATTATGGATAACTTTGATTATTTGACACGTGACTGGTCCATCCTGGGTCCACATCATTTGGATGAGTTCAAAAGGATATGGTCAGAATATGACCCTGAGGCAAAGTAAGTTAAAGCATTTCTCTGGTAAGATTCATCTGATAAAAACACTAAAAGCAGAGCATAGTATATTCTTTGAGAATGCATGCATATTTGGTATTTGGTAATTGATATGTGTTGCTTCTAGGGGAAGAATAAAGCATCTTGATGTGGTTACGTTACTGAGACGCATTCAGCCACCACTTGGTTTTGGCAAATTATGCCCTCACCGAGTGGCCTGCAAGGTAGGTTTTACCCTATTTCCTTTGTAGGCTTCTTTCACAGGTATTCATTCATTCGTTCAATTCTGCCAGATGTGTGTTCTGTATGCACAGTACACCTGTCTATTCACAAGGTGTCCTCCACTTGGGTTTTCCCAGTTTTATGCAGGTTTAACTTAAAGCAGCAAAAGCAGTGTCATTTCCTTCAGTGTACCCATTTAAGTAGCTTTTGTCAACATAAAATTCTTTACAGAGCATCAAAATAAAAGGAGTTGGTCTGTAAATCTATCATTCTATTATTGTGGCATATATGAGATACCTCAGTCTAGCATTGCTGGTGATCCAGTGATATTCCTGGTTTCTCTTTAGTCCCAGGGAGAAGAGGGTGGTAGTTTACTTTAGTTCACAATTAAGTTTTGATACAGTACTTTTACAGTTGCATTCATGAAATGTTTGCTGCATGTGAAACATAGATCTGAGTTTGAAGGGTGTAGACTGTGAGAAATGAATATGAATAAGAAATGAATAACAATGTCCAAACAGTGTCCAGAAGTGAGAAGACTGAAAATTAGCAGAAATTTCAAGTTGAACTTGTTAAGCACAGTGTGTAATCTGGATAAGGATAAATGACATTGTAATATAAAAGTTGAAAAGCAACGCAAAGGAGATGAACAAGTACTAATTTATTTAAGGAATTCTAATGAAGAGGCTAACCCAAAGAAGAAAATCACTTTCGCACTAATTCTATGTAGATAGTGTAAAAGATGCACAGCATTATTTAAGAGTCACCTGAGAAATGAATCAGTTTATGTAAGCCAGACCTGGTGCTGTGGTTCTTCATGGAGCATGAGGCTGGAGCACTCCATGGGAAGCCTGGAACATGAGTGCAACTGGAGTGCATGCTTTTGAATAACTGCATATGTCCCTGATATTGCTTCAATGTCTGCAGATTAGCTCAATAAAAATTATCTATGAAAACTATTGGGCAGTCTTATCATTTGTAGAAGCATACATATGACTAGTATCAGAAATAAGCAGTATTGGGTGTTTATTATAGACAGGTTGGATAGAAGGCTCAATGTTTTTTGAAAAGTTACAGAATTTTTACTCCTCTCAGTGGATATTATTCTTTGATTATGTCAGCTTTTCAGAAATGAATGTTACAGGGGTTTGATTTTTTGAACAGTTTTCTTTTCTCCTTCACAGAGGTTAGTAGCCATGAATATGCCACTGAACAGTGATGGAACCGTCATGTTCAATGCTACTTTGTTTGCTTTGGTTAGGACTGCTCTAAAGATAAAAACAGAAGGTAAGGGTTTTACCTGCCAAGTCTTGTCAGAAAATACAATGAAGAAAAATTCATTTTGTGGGAAATGAATAAGGCTCTCTAAGTCTCAGTGGATTTTATTGGACTTTAGATCATGGATTGTATTCACTATTGCTAGGAATGACTCGTGAGAAAATGAAAGAAGGAGGTAGTGAGACCAAAGCCAAAGTAATATCAGAAAATATTACATGTTTTCATCTGCTCAGATAGAAACATTCAGCAGTGATGTAACAGGACTTCTAGTGCAAGGAATGAATGAGTTCCCCTCTCTGGATGACCAAGATGTTCCTTCCTCACTGCTCTTTAAGTCAGTGCATAGATCCCACATTAGTGCAACTGCAGCTTTTGCACACTTGAAAGTGACATCACTGGTTTGATGGAGACCAGTTCTGACTGTGTAGAATGAATTTCTGTCATTTGCATCACAAAGGGAAAAGGTTTTAAAATTATGGTATGTTTTGAGGAATTTTGCTTTTTGTTTTTATATTTTTTTCATTATTTTACTGTCTTTTACTTTTTCCTGTTCCAATTTCTTCTGCTGTTCTCTGGGTTAGGGTAGCACTGCATGGGAAAACTGCTCAGTAGTTGGATGCCTGAAATTGCATGCCTGCACAATTGAGTAAATCCTGTGATTAGACCAAAAAAAAAAGAAAAGAGGTCAGCTTTGGATCGGGAAAGAAGTGGCTTGTAAAGAACAATTTGTCATGTTCTGCACAATTTAGGCAGAAGGTATTAAGCAGTGACAGAGCAGAACCAAGATCTGTAAATTACTGTTGACTTCTGAAGTACTCCAGAGACTGCTTTGAAAGCCCCTAGGAGTTCTCTCTTACACTCTTCTCTTGGATTACTGCAGTATTATTATTTGATACTTCACGTACCTTAGCCTGCTGCTAACAGTCTTTATCACAGTCTTTATATGTAAACAGCTAATTAATATCCAAGGATCATTCATTGCAGCTAGTTGAAACATACTGGTCATCTTTTGTTTTTCTATTTCATTGCCACAGGTAACCTAGAGCAAGCAAATGAAGAACTTAGGGCAGTTATAAAGAAAATATGGAAGAAAACAAGCATGAAATTACTTGACCAAGTTGTCCCTCCAGCTGGCGGTTAGTGTGATAGATTTTGCAATATGCTATTCTCTGTGCATTTTGGTCTTTGTGGATTGCTAGGAACCAAAGAAATAAAATTACTAAAATTTGAAATTATAATGTCATTAAAGTACAACAAACAATAATAGCAAAATAAATGCAGAGACCATTATATCCTGTTACACTAGATAATAAATATATGACTGATTAACACAAACTCCTTAGATTAAAAAGAATGAGAGGAAGATGCATTTAATGCTTATTTTCTTGCTTGGAAACAAAACAAAACAAACCTTATTAGAGATAAATTCAGTCTATTTCAAGACATTCAGCAAAATAAACTACAGTTAGTTTGATTTCAGTGCATTCAGCAAAATAACTTTTTTTTTTTTTTTTTACTAATTAAGCTTGTCAATGTACACTACATTTTAGCTTATATCCTCATATATGTTGATTACTTCTGGGAGAAAACTAAAAATTTTTAAATGCAAGATTAAATATATATATATATATATTTTGCTAAATTGGTAAAGCAAAAGGCTAAATTATCTTAGACTAGTATAAACCAGAACAGTTCATAGTCAACAGGTAATGGAACTGGTTTGGATTTATGCCAGTATGACTGAGGTATGAATATGGCCCTTGTAAATAAATATCTAGATTGTTATCATACCGATACATTTGCAAGAACTTCAAGGCACGAATATTACTTACTCTTATGTGCTATAAAATGGCATCAAATATTTGTTATATCTCTATTTTAAATATATATATATTTAAATATATATATATTTAAATATATATATATTTAGCCTTTTTCAATATATACATTTTTCTTAATATGCTGTAGTGTAGGTTTAGGTGACATTTTACTTGCTTTTTCAAGTTTTAAAGGTGCAGGATCTGTTGCACTGCATTATCCACACCCAGGCTGTATATATCCAGACAATATACAGATCCATTGTAATCATCTGGTCTTTTTTGTAGTTTATTGTACTTTCATAGTGTTACAGCAGCTTTCAAGACTGATCAGACTCAGGTTTGGAAGCAGACTCAAGATCCCAGGCCCGATGGTGGTGGAGGCTGATCCCTTTCTGAAGGTGATACTCTCAGTCTCTAGGGGAGAAAGAGCATGCTGGCTGCACTGCTGTTCAGCATGACCCAAGAAGCAGCATTAGCTTTGTCGCTGGAGGGAGCCACTTGCTATTGGTGTGGTGGCTGCCAGCTACTTCTGGGGATTGATACAAAAATCTAGCAAATTTGACAATCCAAAGGGGAACTGATACTGCACATTTAAAACAATTTTTTTTTTTGGTGTTCTACTCTGTTGTTTTTAGCCTTACACCTAAGTGCTTGCATGGCATAGATTAATTGCTTTGTTATTGTTGTAACTATGTGCTTGAGCTTTTTCTGCAGCCTCTGTTCCTTTCAACTATGAGTCTTTCCGAATATTCTGAAGCAATTCTGTTTCAGGGTGGTGGCATGGAATTAGTGTTGCCTCTTGCCAACTTTATTCCCCTACATTTTTTATTGAAATAGAGATGCATGCTTCAGAATAGTGAGCTGTGCCTGCCTAAACCAATCTGACAAAGAATCTTTAAGGATTACATTCCTAGAACTAATCTTACATAGTGACTCACCGTTAACTTCAGCTTCATTTCATTGCTGAATGTAAGCTGTATATTTACTTTCAGCTATACTAAAATTCATTGCTAATATTTATTCCGCAAATATAGCTCTTCACTGTAGTTAGAAGGATGAAAATCTGGATCATTGCTTGAATGATAAAAGACGCTATGTCTTCAGCGGTCCAATATAAGCTAGAACATATTGTGAAGTCCTTAAGATTTAAGAAGTCCTTAAAATTTTCAATTTACTTTTTCTCTGCAGACAGTTAGCTAAATACTGGTTAAATAATTCATTACTATACTTGAATTAAACTGTTAATAGATAGCAACAGATTTTCAGTATAGAAAACTGAAACTGTTTTGCAAAAGCATAGAATGAAAGTCAAATGCCTGAATGTATGAATGCATTAATATTCTTAGGAGACTACATAGTAAGAGAAAGGCATACAACCCACTAAAGATTCAACTGCTTTCTATTCTCTAAACTCCCCAGTCTCTACCTGCAAACCCATTTAATCCTGCCTAATGCTTTTTGCCCTCTTCCAAAAACTTCCTGCTGAAATGATTCCTTTTGCTGTCCCTATTTGTAACTATAGATCTGTCTATACTGTGGTCAGTTATGCTTAGCTGCCTCCCTACGTGTCCATATCTGGCTTTATGTGTGTTACTCAAAAAACAAAGTCAAGGATGGCTCCCCTTGGCCAAGCTTCAGTTCTTGTGTGCACCTGTCTGCAATACAACTGACTGTGCCTGTGAATTACATGTGCATCTTGTTTGTAAAAACAGACTTTGACATGCACGATTCAGGAAACTGGTAATGCATCCATCTAATATGCTAATAAAAAATTGGTTTATGTCGACAGTGATCAATAGGGCCCTCTATTTGTGCATACTGAGACTTTGGAGCTACTGTCGTCTCAGGTACAGTCAGTAGTCATAGCCTGTCTTGAGACACACTTTAACTGCAACCCATAGTAGTCTATGTTATATCAAGTCTGTCACTTCTACGTGCTTGTTCTTTCTAGGAGCCATTTGCTATATCACTTCCTTAAAAGATCTGTTGAAATACTTGAAACAAAATAATATAGAAGATAGAGAAAGGATTACTGGGGGAGATTGACCAAGAATACATTGCAGAAATTAATGGATACAGCTAAACTAGGGAAGGCAAGTTTAGGTTATCTACTTTATAAGAGAACTCTTCTGAATAGAAGACTTGTTTCCTGAGGAGTTACTGAGAGAGACTGCAGATGAACTTCAAAGTGAATGTTCACAAAAAGATTAGAAATTAGATTTGGGGAGTCAATTAAAAACCTTTTTACTGATGAGACTGAATCAGTACACTGATGAGCTTTTCTTGTGAGCTACGGAGTCCCTGCAATTTCCTAGTAGGAACTGGGGGGACCCCATCCTTTGAAGACATGTCAGGATTTGGCAGAACAGACTCATTAACAAGCAGAAACATTTCCTGCAACAGACTGGTCTTCCAAACAAGATATTTTAAGACAATTATTATAATTGTTTTTGCTTTGATACCTCTAAAGACAATAAAATGCTGGGAGGATACATCCCTGGTACAATTTTTCTGAAGTTAGAGCCTGTCATGTTTTCTCACATGCACACAACCCACATCAGACATTATAATGAAATGCATCCTGTGAATTCTGGAAGGAGCTTATTTTGAATGGCGAGGATTCATTTTGAGACAGATTGTGTCACAGAGATAAAAATAAGTTTAAATAGTATTACATATGAATTGGATGTCCCCATCATTTTTACTGACACTTCATCACATCATGAAAAAACGGTTACTGAAATTTAAATTAGCAAAAGCTGTCATATTACAGGGAAAAGTGCTATTATTAGTGAGATACATTGGGACGTAAAATTGATAATGCAAAACCACAAGGAGACTGTTTTAATCAAATGTTAATGTATGATGTTACACTAGATGACAATCATTTTAAAAAAATTACTTGACAGGGAAAACACTTAAGAAGATACGCTCATATGTAAAAAACAAAACAAACCGACAGGAAACAAGCAAAAACATCAAGTCTACTAAATCTTCATTAGAGTTAAAGTATGCACAAAGCAAATGACATAAAACTTAAAACAAACAAACAAACAAAAAACACAGCAACAACAAAAAATCCTGTACTTTCTATCAAACGTGTTAAAGTGTGTCTGAGCACATTAGATTTTCTGCATTCAGCCAAGCAAGTCACGAAGTTGTAACCCAGATCCTGAGATGTGTTAAGCACCTGTCTGACACAACGAGGGTAGCCAGAATGGCAGGAGCTTACTGTCCGCTGGAATGTGGGCTATAACTGTGGAGAGAACTTGGACACCTAAAATACATAGCCCTTCCAATACTAAATTCCTCCTTCATCTGCAGTACTAGCCAACTAGTAACCATGTTGCAAATGGCTGGCTCTACATATTGCTAAACTCCAGAGAGTAGGCAGCAGAAAGGGAAAAAGATAACTTTGTGCCAGGTAACTCTAGGGGAAAGAAATGTGTGAGAACAAAAGCAATGTTTTTAAATAGAAAACTATTTCTAGTTTTCTGGCAAGCATTACTTATCAGGGCATCAAACTTCCACAGCTGAACAATTGAATGGGACTCATAAAACAGACACAAAGTACTTACATGCTGTGAACCAGGAGATTTCAGTATTGTCATAAGGTACCTGTTGTTGAACTTTGAAAACTGGAAATTCGGATTTGGTTCACAATAGTGACTCTGTAAAAACAAAATAAAAAAAAAATCTATTTTTTACTGCACTGGCTATCTATGTATCTTTTGAACTGTGCAAAATTAGCTGTTGCAATTTATTTTCCTATCTATCAGCAAATCAGACCTTATATGATACAATAATGTGGGAAAGCAACATGTCTGTTTCATATTTACTCTTATCATCATCTAGGAGGTGACTAAGGACCAAATCTTCACTTAAACAAGAGCCTCACAGAAAATAAGTGAAATTGTAAAATCCGTGAGATTTTACTCCAGAATCAGCCTTATTGGGTGACAATAAGACAGCAGAAGATACGGTCCAACATGAGTATCTGTAACACTGACCAAATTCAAAGTGGAAGATGTTCAGCTGTTATAGTGAGGATATGACACCAATTAAAAAAAAAAAAAAAAAAAAAAAAAGTGCATAGCAAAGCAGCCTGTAAAGATACCAAAGTCCTTGTGTAATTAAAACAATGCTATATTGATACACTAAGAAAATTTGGCTCAGCAGGAATTAAAAAAAACAAAAAAAAACAAAAAAAAAAACAACAAAAAACATGAAATATGTTATGAGCAAGACCTTTTTCTTATAGAGAGTCACTCTTATAAGCATGTGTAAGTCACAGTAGCTCTTATTTTAATCCATTTAATTCAAGTAACTAAAGCCAATCTTTTAGCTTTTATGAACGTAAAAAGATGCTTATGTTTTTTTTAGAAACTTACATGAACTTACCTAGAAGTACATGAGACTTGGTGAAGTATTGTAGTTCCTTCTTTATTAAGGACATGTTCGCCTACCTGACTGAGCCTAAAGTGCTTGCTAAAACATTGCTTTAAGCTAGTTACAGATTCCATTACTGTAAGATGAAATCATAGCACCTATTGCACCCATCACATTTTTTCCCCCAAATCAGATATGAGTGTACAGGCTATTGACAAATGTGCTGACCTGGGAGAGATCTGTCTGGTCTGTTCATTTAGATGATGAGGTAACCGTGGGGAAGTTCTATGCCACCTTCCTGATACAGGACTACTTTAGGAAATTCAAGAAACGCAAAGAACAAGGACTGGTGGGGAAATATCCTGCGAAGAATACCACGATTGCTCTGCAGGTGATTTTGTTTTTACATTTTAACTAACTATTTTGTGAGCTTACTTGAAATACCAGGTAGATGAATATTGATGATTGTGCAGTGCTGCAACGATTTAATTTAGCTGGGACACTTTTGGCCCTTGTTCATCAGAAAAGTAAAACGTAACCCTGCTTTTCTCTCTATAACAAGGTAAGTGCAATAAATTATTCTCTGTGAATTACTCAAATGGTAGCAACAGTTATAAAATTCCTCAACAAGTATAGTTGATACATCCAAGTCTAAAGTTGCTGAAGTAAAATCAGATAAATGAAGTTCTGAACTATCATTTTTGTTGTTTTACTTCAACTGTTCAACTTCTTACGTTCTGACAACGTTATAAGCCAATTCTCAGGTAACTTCCTAACAGGTATTACCTCATAATAAAGATGTTTTTATATGGTATTTGCTTCCTAATTCTCATTGTTCTTTTACGAAGTAATATTAGCATGCTATATTAATGCCTGTCTCTTAAACCAAGCTGTTAAATGGAACCCAGGACAATAGATTGACTAGTACTACTTGGCCATCTGTTTTTTGGAAAGCCTGCCGCAAGCAGTCCATAGAGTATAAGTGATCTGAAGGTTATATTTTGAATATTTTTATCCAGTGATACCCTTGGCATTATGAACTTTGAAACATGCAAATGGAAGGCTGCCCTCAAATAATTCCATATATCACACACTGCATCATTTTAATTGGATTATGACTCAACAAACTGCAGTTAATGCTGGCTGGATTCCTACAAACTGTAAAGATATTTAACCTTTCTGATGCAAGTTGAAGACTTTGTTGTGAAAATATCTAAAGGGGGAGGAATGTGTTAATCCATATACCTTTTTTTTTGTTAAAAATCCTGCTTTTTTTTTTCTCTTTTTCTTTTGTCTAACAAAACAATCTTTGCTGTCTTTAGTGGGCAATTTTTCTCTCATATTTCCTAATAATGTCTCTACCGGGAGCTCTGATACATTTGCTGTTCCAAGTCACGCATTTCTCTACAATAGGCAGAGAAAAATTCATTTCAATGCTTGTTACTGATGTATGAGCATATGGCTTGCTGGGACAATGTGAGCTATATTTGTACATCATCAGAGAGAAAAGAAATAACATGGGAAATGGAAGAGTTAAAAAGGAAAAGGCTGGAAACAGTTGAGAGGAAAGTGAAAGACACCAGATTGTTAGGAAGGATTTTGCAGACTTTGAGCAGTATTTGGTAATAAGGAACTCAAAATTAGTTCTAAGCCACAGTACTACAGGTTTCCACCTCTGTTTTTGAAGTTGTGCGTGTAACAGTATAGAAACAAATAGAGTTTCCAAATGTGAGTATGCTCCATTGTTTATTATCAGATTGTGCTTCCTGTTCAATACCAAAGACAGAGAGAAAGATGAAACTGGGAAGAATTAGCACTTTCTCTGTCTTTAGACAAACATTTCTCAGTTCAGAACAGCTAAAAATTGCACCATGAATCTCTGCTAGGAAACTACAATGTTTTTTTGTTTTGTTTTCCTTTTGATTAAAACAATGTTCCTGTGGCAATAACATGATTCAAGCTAGTAGATAGGAAGTTGTTTCTTTCTTTCTCCACATTTTCCTGTTATACTTCTGTCTTTCTAATAAATGAATAATAATTCAGCTTCATCTACCAAATATCAGTAGAAAGACTATTTCAAAGAAACCTGAAACCTATGGTTGGAAAAAAGCCCTGTCTTATGGGGCATTTAAAGGATTAGATGTTTGGACTTGATGATCTTAAGAGTCTTTTCCAACCTAAATGATTCTGATTCCTATAGCTATTTCTCCAAAGTAGATTATCAACAAATGTAACAAGTTAATTTTTTTCTCTTTATTTTGCTGACCAATTTTGCTCAATCAAAAAATGATGTATTGATATGGTCAGTATTTTAGTGAACATTATATTTTAGCTTCCTTTATAAAAATGTCAGTTATTCAGGAAGACTCACTCGGTCAGTGGGGCTAACAGTAAATTAGATCTCAGTTCTGATAACTGTTCCATCAATTCTATTTGCATTTCATCATTTTGTGAGTATGATATATAGGCTTGATAGCAGGCATTTTTCCATCCCTTCAGCTGTCAAAATCAACAACATAGGTTGTCTAACACCACGTTTCTGTAGTGGAGGAAGGAGAAAAACATAAAGAGGCACGTTGTGGCACTGCCTAAATATTGTCTCCTGAATTTTTGGAGTTTTATGCTCCAGTCTGTAAGACTCACTCTGTATTGTCTCATTTCTGCCATTTCTCAGTTCCAGTCAGAACACATTTATAGTTAGCATTTATTGAATTTTCCAGAAGAAGGAAAGCTGGATCCTAGATGCCAATGTTCATGATACCATATATGTGTAGTAAATAAATCACTGAAGGTATCAGACTCTTGGCACACTCAGAGACAGAAGGGAACTGTAAGAAAAGAAAATTAATATTATGTTCTACCAAAATAACTTATCTGGAAAGAAAGGAAGAGAAACTGGGAATATTTAAGATAGCTAACAGTGTAGAAGCTGTAAAATTAGTGTCTTCCAATTAGCGACAAAGTACAGAATAGCATTTTAATTTATTTTTTAGTCATTAAGACAGGAGTCTTAACAAATGAAGATGTGAAACTTTCACCCTTTGCTTTCATATTATTTGGTTACATGAGACAAATTGCCTGTTGTGTCAAGAGAATTTCAGTGGTAGTCCCCTTGCCATTTTTGCATCAGAACCTTGACACAACTGGAATAAAGACAATGGCTTCTTCTGATAGTAGGCTTGAGAAATGTTTGAGGGGGAGAAGCAGCAATGTTTGGGTTGAGTAAGACCATTGGAATGGAGTTCCCGGCAAAACTAGATTTGCTTTGTGAATCTGTCGCAGGCAGGAATTCCCCTTCTTACCCTGCAGTGATTGCATTCAGGGTGATTTTTATATAGCTCAGTTTGTCCTCAAGGCTGCAGCATTTGTAGTTAGCCTAACAAAAGCTGCTCTTTGGAAGAGAAGAGGAAGCACTCTAGAACATGAAGTGGATCTCCAGAGTTTATCTACTCAGGCTGCTGAGTAAAGTCTTTTTGCCATGAAGTTTCAAATTCCTCCTCAGTCAGAAAAGTGTATTTCAAGTTATAACCAATAGCATTTGGTCTAAACTTGCGTATTGTCATTGAAACCATCTTCAGAAATAGTATAATGATTTTCCTTGGAACTACAACAGGCTAGAATGTTTTCTGCAGATTCAGGAGTTTTCAGTCCTTATGAAGGGAAGAAAAGCAGCTAGTTCTGAAATGATAGGTGACCAGTTTGCGTTAGCTATCTACTGACATTTTTGTTGTTATACACACTTTTAGGACATGAGACACAAAATTCTTTGGGGGTGAATTGCTCATAGTGCCTTTCTTATTCTATTAATCAATATTTATGCAATTAGAATGAATACATTCTTGGGATAAAACCAGAAAATTATATTTGTAGCAGTAGTTTAGGAGATGTCTTTTTGTTGTGATGGAAAAATGTATTGAGCCAAACAGTAGTCACATTGCTGGTGAAAATAAATGTTAAGTGAAGCATGATCAGGTTTAATTACTTTTATCTGTTAATTAGAGTAAATGAATTAATTTGATGCTCTTTTTACTAGGGAACATGTGTGCTCTAAACTATATAACATTTGCATCTGTATTTCACATTTATTTACACACAATCCACTTTGTTAATATCTGCAAATAACAGTTAATGGATATTTCCCTTCACATCGTAAGGACATAAGCTCAATTTGTTGAGCTGAACTTGATCTTGGGAATGTGCTTTGGGTTAATTATGCTTTTTATCTATGAAAATATTGTAAGTAATATCAACCCTACAGGAAACTTGAGAGAAGGTAGATCTCTAGTAGGCATCTATTGAGGGGTTAATATGCTTTGTTCAAGTTCAATTTAATGGTCTTCTGTGTTCATGTTGCATTCAGAGAAGGGCTTAGCTTCACAGGAGTCACAGTTTGACCGAAAGCACGGAGCTTTTGTGCCATTGTAGAGCAGTGCACTCAGCCTCGGTGTTAAGAGGGTGGGCTCAATGAAGATGAGGAACACTGGGGAATCAAGACTTGGCTACTACATCTCTTATGTTCACTGCTATAGCGTAGGTCTATTTAGATATTTTTCTGCATGCTTATTTTCTTACTTTACTATTTCTGGCATTGTGTTCCATTCTTACTGCCTTCAGGTTATTTTATGCTGTGACAGTGCATCTGTGGTGGTTTTTGTTCTTTTTGATTTTCTTTGCTATAAAATAAGCAGCTATTAAAAATGTGTTCATTATCACATTCATTATACAGCAGTTCATATGAACAGTTTCATAGTCATATACTTGCAGTACTCTGAAACTCTTAAGAAATTAGCATTTAGAATTCATGTTTATGCTTTATTTCAGATCTAATTAGTTTATATAGCAATATGCGTAACTATCCAGCATTCTTCTAAAATCTGTGAAGCATATTATACAAGTGTCTGCCATTTCATGATATTACTATAAAATGCCTCAAGTAAGGAGCATTGTTTGTTTTATGTGACTAGAACTACTGTGGTGATCGTGATTCTTATTATTTAGACTGTTGTGTTTACTCAGCTTAAAATAAGCTCAAACTTCATCTGTGTGTAGGTTGCATGATGCCTCTAAATGGATGTACACTGAGTTCAGATATAGGGAAAATTATCTTTGTGTAGTTCCAGTATTCATAAACCTTTAATTTTTTTTCTAAAAGTCGTGACTCTGAAGTCTTGCATTATACACAAACTTCTCAATATAAAATGTGAATCTAAAATCGTGCTAGTGTTTTATGAATACTAGAGATGCACAAAATTAATTTTAAAACTATTTAGCATTTGTTAAAAGCAATCTTTTTGAAATATTAAACTTCTTAATATTTTCATGCTTAATTTGACTTTTAAATATTTTTGCATTTTGGCATGTGATACTTTTCAAGTATATTTAGGTTCTGAATGACCAATTGAGAACTATAGTTATTAATCATATTACAATTTCACCACTGAGGGACACCTACAGTTCTATTCCTTTAAATTTAAAGGCACACATGTCATCTCAGTGCTGTGTCAGACATGGGGGCATTGCTAATTGTCTCTAGAGCTGCTGTTTAGCACACAGCACTGATGTATTAGTGCTTCGTGCCATCTTGAAAACATTGCAGGTACTATTATGCCCCATAAAGCACAGCTGTACAAAATTATTGTGTTAATTTGAAGTCATCTTGTGTATTTAGAGGAAAGCCTATTTAAAGACATGCTTGGTTTTATTATGTAATTATGTTTGGTGCACTCTGTGTCATGAAATAACTAACTATTGGTCTGATATATCTCATATTTCCCATGCCTAGAATGAACAAATTAAACAAAAAAAAAAGACATCAAAAATAAATTTTGGAGAGAAAATGTCTGAATAAGAAAGAGCTTTTATTTTTTGCAAATTTGTAGTGAAATGTATAGAATGGAATTAGAGTCAAACAAATACAGTAGCATGTATCTCTTCTATTCCCCTACTTCAAAGAAATGTCAACAAAATGGAACAATATGAATAGAACCAACAGATGTCCTTTTGCAGAAGAGCGTGAATAATTCAGTGGTGCAGTTTTGGAAAAAACAAAACAAAACAAAAAAACACTATTTTTTCCAGTCACATATCCACTAAGCAAAAATATTTGTGAATAGCAAATAATGATACTCTGTGTTGGAAAGTTAGAGATAACAGAACTGAAGAGTTGTGTGTTCTGTAATAATCTGGTATTATTAATGCATTTTCTTAGAAAACTGATCCGTTTGACTGATTTAACAACCTTGAACCAAGCAAGTTTCCAGACTGTTGAGCTGAGATGGATATTAGACATACATACGATGGTAGAACTGACCCCCTGCTTCTTGAAATAATGTGATTTATATTTTGACCATCAAAAAAATAGGAAATAAAATAATACTTATTCACATTTATATTTAGTTAGGGAATAACTTTAAAGGTGTTTTTACTGATGAAATAGCATAAAATAATCTTGAAGCTTCCTTTAAGGAAAGGCAAAAATTCTCTGGACAGGAGAAAATCTGCAGAAATCAAGAATCTGTCTTAAGAAGTAGATATAAAGGATAAAAGGTGGACTACAGAGAGTGTCACCCCTTCAGCAACCATTACTAACTAAATGAAATGTTATGAAAAGTCTTATATCAGTCTTTAATTCCTACCAGTTGTTCCGTTTATGGAAAGTAAAAAGGATTTAACTGTGATTTCCTTTCATCTGCAGCTCTGACAAGCCATGTGAGGAAGTAATTTCTGTATAGCACTAAAATTTGACATTAAAAAAAAAAAAGAAGTCATTTTATTATGATGCCTCAGAAATGTGGCTGGTCTTGATTCATTATATGTATATATATATATATAACACAGAAGGTTTATGAAGTTCTTAGGGAAGTATTTGCCTGCTATGGACTTCAGCAGTTGTAGGAACAAAGAAACAAGCACACCTCCCTGAAAAATGCAAGTAAATCACTGTCCAGGGAAGGACAGTGCATAGTTCCATTGTCCCTGTAGAGTTCTTGCTGTGAGTAGGCTAAACTCACATATTGCAGGGGAAAATGTGTATCAGAAGGACCTTATTTTCCTTTTCAACTAATGGAAAGATGTGGGAAGGGTTGGTCTGATTTTGTGTTGTTTTGTGATATTATTTTTTATTTAAGAGATCTGTGATTTGCTTCTAACGTACTTGAAGGTAAAAGTCAAACATTTATCAGCCCATGATTTCTTTGTGATCTTCACAGAAGACCTGAAATGTAGTTCAGAGGAGGGGTATTCCTACTGGCAGACAAGTACCAGTGCCTGCCTTTTTACATCAGCCCAACTTCAGAGAAGTTGACTGATATAATGAGGGGTTGTCTTCTCACCACTAAGAGCTTAGCATGAGAGTTTATCTCATGGTGCAGAGCCCTCCTGCTGTAAAAATTCATAGATTGCTTAGAATACTTTTCAAATACTCCATGTAAAATGTGGCAGTACATGGGAGTAGTCACTTTACTGACAGACTTAGCAAAGTCAATCTGGGTGATTCTGTTGGAGCAAATAACCTAACGGATATTTTAATTCTGCAAGCAGGTGTTGCTTGTAGAACCTATGGCTTTGGTACTGGATGTCAGTAAATAAAGCTGATTGTTTGAGTATACTTTGAAAAGTGTACTCTTACATACTGTGATTCAGGTTTTAATTTTCTGCTGGTGACTGTCATTGCAAAGGGTCTGTCACAGGAAAATTAGTATTACTGAGGAGAGATGAGATGATAAAAGCTGCCTGCTCTTATTTATTCTTTTTAAGAGGGAGTAATTCACCAAGAAATATACCAGAAGGAAGTGGGAAATGTCATTACATGATTATTAGATATGTTCCTGCCAAACATTTGCCTTTTCTCAGTTTTCAGGTATATATTTATGGGACTTTGTCACAATTTGGCATACAGGAACATAAGCCAGTAGTTTTTGCTAGAGATAAAATGTATAATATTGCTGTCTGAGAGCATTGCATTCAGAGAAGGGCTTAGCTTGAAGGGAGTTGGGGTTTGACCGAAAGCATAGAGCTTTTGTGCCGTTGTAGAGCAGTGTGCTCAGCCTCAGAGGGTGGGTTGATGAAGATGAGGAACACTGGGGAATCGAGATTTGGCTGCTACATCTCTCACATTCACTGCAATAGTGTAGGTCTAATCAGCTATTTTTCTGCATGCATATTTTCTTATTTTAGTACTTCTGGCATTGTGTTCTGTTCTTACTACAGTTTATGTTATAGTGTTGGTGATTTGGAAGTGTAAGTGATTATTCTCACTAGTGACAGAGTAACCAAAATATAGTAGTAATCCTCTGCTAAATAAATACTAAAGCTTTTGGTCTATTTTGAAATTTGTACCAGGGAGTGTTAGTGATGCCATTAGCAATCTTGCTAAACTTGACTGTGTAATTAGCACAGGAAGTGGGAAAAAGCACAGCGCATTCATGAAAAGTACATTGCATATTAACTCCCTAGTAAATGATTTTAGAGACCTGTTCCATTACAACATAACTCTCAAAGATCATCCTTGAGGAAGAAAATGTAATTGCCAAGTTCACATAGCTAATGTGATTATTCAAGTACCATTTTCAGGAGGTGAAACACCAGTAGAGTGAAACCTGAGCAAGAACTTGTGTATCAGCACAGGCTGATACAAAGCTTTTTAGTTCTTCCCTTTCCAGGTTCTGGTTGCCCACACTGCATAAATGCAATTTTGCTCCCCAGCAAACTGGCTGTTCCCACTGGGGTCTAAAAGCTGGGTGCAGTGCTGCAGCGAGCTCCCAGGAATGTGTGTGATGGGCAGCAGGAATGGGACCCAGCCATGCCTGGTACCTGCCAAGGCCCTCCAGCTCAGTCTGTGCTCTGAAACATGCAAAATGCTCCACCCATCTCCATGCCACCCCAGGAGAAGTAACGTGTCCCAATGGGCTGGTCAGCCTTCACGTCTGTATCAAAAATGCACAGAAAGATGATAAATCAGGCTTTTAGATCGTGATTGTGTCAAGTGCCATGCATGCGCTTTATATGCGTAAGTGTAGCACTAGTAAAGGGGTAAAAAAAAATTGATTTCTTCTGAACCTGAGAAGAAAAAAAAGAGTTGGGGAGAACAAGGTTGTAGTTTTTTGTTTGTTTGTTTTTCTTTACACAGTGGCAGCCAGAGTTAAAATAGGAAAAATATCATCTTTTCAGAGTAGGTAAGGCATACAAAAGCACGGAATTGTTGGGCACAAGGATGCTGTCTTTTTGCTCTGTGATGTGTAGGGGTCTCTTCAGCAGTTCCAGCACAGACACTCTTGCTAAAAATTCCTTTTGATAGCAGGCTTGAGAAGGAATATGAACCTTCTCAATACATGCTGAGGCCCCTGCTGCTGTAGCTGGATGGATTTCTGTTCTACACTGAAGGTTCACATCTGTACCTGTGGGCAGCACAGATGAGCTGGAATTATTTCACTGCTTTCTTTACAGTCTGAGCTCTGCTAAAACTGCTATTGCTGGAGCAAAGATCCTCTTGTGTTTCCTGCATGGACACAGGCTGCAAACACGTTTTTAACATTAAATATACATCTTTTTGAAATACATTTTATTAAAGTACTTGTTGATTGCTTATAATTTCTTGTAAGATGAATTTTGTTTCCGTAGGGTTCCATAAACATCAGTGGTCCTTTAGTCAGGATCTACACAGTGGTAATAAGGACACTTCACTTCAGCAGGACTGTACTGGACTACAAGCCTTTTATTAATGACAGTAAAGAGACATAGTAGGATGCATCATCTATGAATATCAGGATACAAAAATGTGTTAACTGTTTTTTAATAATTTTACATGTCTGTGACTATAGAAGAATTTGCATTCCTAATATGTTATGATATTGTGATTGATTTAGGCAGGACTAAGGACACTTCATGATATCGGTCCTGAAATACGCCGAGCTATATCCTGTGACTTGCAAGATGATGAACCAGAGGAAAATAATCCAGAGGAGGAGGAGGATGTTTATAAAGTAATGTCAGAACACAGCTCTGTGACTTTTTTGTTGTCGATGTTGTGTTATGTAATATAAGGTTTATAGAATGAGTTTATCCCCGAATGTGGGAGAATAATAAAAGCCTCAAACCAGAAAATGTAAATATTTAATAAACATCAAGTATGTTTTATGTCTATCTAGAAAAATGGTATTACTAGGACATCTGCATCTCACCATAAATTTAGGAAGGAGTTCCAGCAAGAGTCATTCTTCTGCTCCTAATTTCTTCTCTCTAATTCTTATTTTTTCTTTAGTAATTCCTAAGAAATGTGTGAGTCTTGCATGTGCCTATGAGGACAGCTCAAACTGAGATAGTGGCAAGGTTTAAACAGTAAATGTCTTAACATCTACAGTGGTGGGCAGGAAGAAGAGATGAACTTCTAGGCAGCCAAACCAGTTGCAGAGCTGCATATTTTAAAAGAATGCCTAGAATTGCACAGAAGTCAACTCACAAATGCCAGTTCCACTTTCCTGTGAGGGATATCAATAAGAATTAATTGGGAAAAAAGTTTGGTTTTCCTCTTTTATGCTTTAGCTATTCAGGCTAAGGGTGAGCACTTAAAGTTGGTATTGTAATCAGCAAATTGTTTTTCAGCTAGCAAGAAAAAATTCTTTGCAACGTTTCAGAAGTAGATGTAAAGGCATGTTCCTGCAGTAATTGTCAGAAGCTCATAGTTTGCTGTCCTGTACAAAAAGAGGAGGATGTGGTACTGGAGACAGCAGTGCAGTGACCATCAGTAGATGCATTTCTCTGCCAACCATCATTACCTTCTGTCTTCTCTAGATTGAGCTTCAATTCTGAGCTGTCATCCAAGACACACCCCTGGCTAGACAGGGAGGCTACATAATCTGGGTTAGATGTAAAAGAGAGCTGCATGTCATAGTCATAATTTATCACTTAATTCTTTCTCATCCATTTCACTCTCAGGACTGATAAAGAGTTACTGCTCTTTCTTATATCTCTGCAAGAAGAAAGAATGGAACCACTGAAGCTTAATGCTATCTACTTGAGATATGCTTGCAAACTGTTGCATGGCACTCCATCCTGTCTGAGTGACACCTGTTGCAAACCAATGCTCTGAGAAAATAGGAGAGAATTCCACCAAAGTGTTCTCAGAAATTACACAGTCCTGTCCCTTTTTGAGGAATTTGGTGCATGTTCTTCATGTATAAGAATCTAGGTTTCTCTTGTGTAACAAAACACAGAGTAAGCTGGATGTCACATTTAGTTGTATGGAAAAAGAAAAATGTTCGCTAATTTGACTCTGAAATACAAATACTGTCATTAGCACAATCACATCTCTATCACTTCAGCAGATCCCATCTGAAGCATCATAAATTAGAAAGAAAAATCACATTTATTTGATACTTTGTATGCATGGTGGAGAGAAGTAAGTCATTGCTGTCAGAAAATGTTTTTTGTACCTGATGTTAGTTTTTTCTTTCTCTTCCCCTAAAACAGAGGAACGGTGCCCTCTTTGGCAACCACATAAACCATATTAGCAGTGACAGACGCGATTCATTTCAACAGATCAACACCACACACCGTCCTTTACATGTTCAACGGCCTTCAATTCCATCTGCAAGTGATACTGAGAAAAATCCATATCCAGGAAATTCTATATACCACAATCATCATAACCACAACTCAGTAGGAAAGCAAGTTCCAAACTCAACAAATGCCAATCTCAATAATGCCAACGTGTCCAAAGTTGTCCATGGAAAACACACAAATTTTGGAAATCATGAGCATAGATCTGAAAATGGTTACCATTCATACTCCAGAGCTGATCATGAGAAGCGTAGAAGGCCAAGCAGTAGAAGGTAAACTTATGAAAATAATATTTGCTTTTAAATTAATGTATATGTTTTAAATCCACTATAAGAAAAATTGTGCTGCATTAAACTAATTCATATATTTAGCTTCATTTCAGTTCCCTATTACTGTACAAAACTTGAACTATAGCTTTGATATGTGGGAAAATGGTGTAACTTTAATAAGGTTTGAAAATAGTCATTTTATTTAAAATGAAATTATTACAGTACAGACAATGTAATCACCAATGGACTTCTCAAAGCTACCTGATTTTAAAGTATCTTTCTCCATAATTTCATGGCTTACCTGGATAGAACCCGCTACTACGAAACATACATTAGGTGAGTTTACTTTGTTCTGATATAATCGAAAAGCACAAAGTAGATTTTTTTTTCTTTGTTCATTTAAAGAAGCAGTGTGGTTCTCCAGACTAACTGCATGACAATGAATATGCTGATAAATTAACGTGCAGAATGCTAAGTCAGATTGTCCACTGTTTTAAAAGGGTAAACTTCTCTTATAGTTCAAAACTATTCAAACCCTCCTAAAGTCTGCACAGGTTTGTGCAGTTTTCAGCAAACAAAAGATCACACCTGGTGGTAGTCCTTGTTTAAGATTGACTTGCGTAAGTTGGAAAAAAAATTATGTTAGCTTTTGTAAATACTTCTATGTATGATCCCATTTATAAGGGGCCCAAAATGTATCCTGGCCTTGTATCTGAATATTTTCTAAGACAAGATTTTAAAATTAGATGTAGTCTGTTATTTGAAGTGCATTGCTAAATGTGCGTTCAGTTGTAGTTAGTCTAGATTTGGACACGCATTTTTCTTGGAAGAACCTCAGTGAATGCTCCTTAATATTTTAGCTATGTGGCAACCTTCCAAGATTTGAGAGAGGCTGTTTTTCTACCAAGTACTTTGAATTTATATTTTGTAAAAATGTCTTAAATGTATTCGACTTCGCAGAACATCCCCATGTTAATTATTTTCATATTTGTACCATAAACAAAGAAAGGAAGGCCACGAAGAAACTGGTAAACTGCTTCTATTCTGAACTGTAGTTCTACAGAATTTACTATAAAGTCACATTCTGCCTGAGTTGTTAATTCTTTTTTATTGAATGCACCTTCAAAGAGCTATGTCTAAACTATAATCAGTCCCAAGTATTTGTTTGCTGCTTATAGGTCTGACTCTGGTGATGGACGTCGACCTACTATTTGCCGTGAAGAACGTGAAGTTCGGGACTATTGCAATGATGATCGTTATTTGGAAGAACAGGAATATTTTAGTGGAGAAGAATATTATGAGGAAGACAGCATGTTATCAGGAAGCAGGTGAGGATATTTGTTAAACTGAGAAAAGATTTCAGGAACATATGTATGTATACATATATGCTCCACTAAGAGTACTTACAGTGAAAATTTTCTAATGAGGTTAATACTCCACAACTGCTGGTAAGTGAAATGGTGAATAGAAATAGTGTAGGTTCGGCAAACCTTTGTGTTTGACATCAAGTGCTGGATTCAGCAAAAGTTCTGTACAAGATTTTAAGCAAAGCAGAAAGTTCATTTGAACAGAGTATAAACTAGTATAAAGTTGTGCATAACCAAATAATCCTTTTTGTTTATAAACAAAATTTCAATTACAGTGGAATTAAGGGTTAAGGTCAGCTAAAGGAACTTTTAGAAATGGTTTTCTTCTTGTAGTATTAGCTTAACTGATGAATTGGATGTCTTTCTTTTGAAAATTTTCATTATTACCACTTTATTAATGTTCCTCTCAGCACCATTTTCTGTCTCCCTGATACAATCACTGTCACATTTTCCTAGCCTTTAGGTGATTGGAATTGATAGTTTTTATGGTTTGTTCATATGTTTTATGGAAACGTCATAGATTGCATTTCAGTCAGATTATTGGCATTTGTTACACATTTGTATTACTGAACAATGTGCAGACTTGTATTGACCAAACTCTCCTTGCTGTAACTGCACAGTTCTCATTTTGTAACCCAGTTCCTCTTGGTTTTCTCACTCATTTGTGTTTTCTCTGGCCAAAACTCAGAATAGTAGCCTAGCTAATTGTGATATTTCTGTCACGTAGGGTTAGTTTGTTTTTTTTTCAAGGTCCAGTTGTGTGTAACGACTGTTACCTGATTGTTTGTATTTAACTCCTTTGATCTTTGCATTTAATAACTTAATTTTAAGGGGAAAAAAAAAAAAAGCCTTAATTTAATTTTGACAAATCAAAGCTTTTCACTGCAGCTTTGTTTCACACAGTCTTCAGAAGTGGACTGGGATAGGATTTCCTAACTTTAGAAGAGTGGTTCCTAAGTTACTTTGGCTTGAGTATTACTGCTGTGATGTGGCTTCAGCAAAGTCGCTTCTTAACCTTTCATTTGGACTTAAAAGATCTTCAGTAGATTGTGGTGTTCTTCCTCAAATAGCTGTGCTTCCCTCTGATGAGTAAATTTAACAACTGCTCAAAAGTAGTAGAGGAATTTATTGCCTTTTATTTTAGAGCCATAAATGAATACACACAAGTGACAGACACTCTTTATTCTCCTCCTCCTCTCCTATCTTTTTTGCCATCTGCATTTTGACAAGATTGGCACACTCATGTGCATCTTGTTGGATTGCATAGAAGCCAAGATTTGCATAAAAACTAAGTTATACAGAATTCTCAAGCCACTCATTTTGATATGATAATTACAGCCAAATAATAACCTTACAGGATTTCATTTTTGACAAGCATCCAAGTGTATAAGGCTGAGTTCCGTTCTCTGGGTTTCTGTGTTCCATAGGTAGGGTTCACAAAAGAGAATGGCAGGAGCAGAACAGAATATTGTTTTTGTCTTTTAAGCAATTTATATTTTAGCTTGTAATGGTAAAAATTACTTCACTGAAAATATACTGATAAAAAATTAATCTGAGAATTTATTATGTAATTATACTGATAGAAATGTTCATGCTTACTATCTCAAAATCAGTTTGCATACAGAACATGGGTTTTAAAACTGAGTCATGTAATTGTATAATGCAGTTATACTTGGTTATGTTTGGTTATCTTCTAGAAAACACCTAAATAGATCAACTTACAGAAACTCTGAAATAACATTTACTTTATTGTACTTTAACTCAGGCATATATATGATTACCACTGTAGACATCACTGCCATGACTCAGATTTTGAGAGACCAAAAGGTTACCATCACCCACATGGGTTTTTTGAGGAAGATGATTCACAGACCTGTTATGATACTAAAAGATCTCCTAGGAGACGGCTGCTACCTCCAACACCGACACGTAAGTACATTAAGAACAATTTGTTTGCAAATCCAGAATTATTTAAATTTATTTAAAAAAAAATCCAGTTTCAAAATGTTTCTTTGTACGCTGGATTTAAAACAAGACATTTCTCGATTAATGTTGCTAGCAGATTACTGTGTACAGCAGAAGAACCTATCCATCCTGAGACACTGCTCAACCTAGAGATCCTAGCACACAAGTCAGCCTTTTTAATATCTCTTGCATCACTCATGCAGTAATATGAAAATAATTGATTTAACTGCTAGTTTTAACTTGAATCGGTAAATGAAGAGAAAGCAAGGTAGAACACAGCAGTAGTTTTCTCTGAAACTTTGATCAGAGGAATTCAGTGTGTGCCCCCTTATCCAGACCCACGGATGTGCTGTGCTGCTGTTATCCCTCTGGAACATCTCTGGACCTGCTGGCACGTCCCCGTCTCTTGGCAGACATGCTGCTTACTGGCACTGGGACCGCTTCCATTTATATCTTTACCTCTTGCTGCTTTAGTAAACAGTAGACTGAAATATAGCAGTTTGCAAGGAAAACAGAACCAAGAGAGAGCTTAATGGTGTGGGGTTGTGTTTTTTTTGATAGTTTTTGTTTTGTTTTTCTGCCCAAAGAACTTTGGAATGCCTTTAGGTTTTTAATGTGTATCTCAAGTCCCTGTGAAAAATAACAGCATTATCCTGGACCAAGCATCTTATCTGAGATTTACACTGGAAATTCACTCTGCCATCTGTAGAAAGCACCTTAAAATTCTGTGCTGCTCCTGTTTGGGAAAACGTTTCAGTGTATAGATTGAATAATTTTTGCCAACATATGTTTTTTACTCATTTCTTTAACTGTCTTTTCTTTTAGTTCTCAGATCCTTCACTTGGTTTCCCTTCCTCTCAAGCACAGTGTTTCTCTGTCTGCATTACTAAGACCTGTCAGGCTTCTTATCCTTTAATTTTGTTTTTGTATGTTCCAGGCCATACTACAGAGGTTAGCAGTGCTAATCCTCTGGTGAAATTAGGTGCAGATGCAAAGGTTTTGGAGTTTGGCCTTCTGACACTTCACAGGGAGGAAGCACTTTGTCTGGGTTGTGAAATGCAAACTAAACTCCCTTTGAGTGTTAAACTAACGAGGGTTGGTGTGGAGGGGTGGATGCGTGAGAAACATAACTCAGCTCCATGCCACCCCACAGTGTCCCTAAGGGTACTCAGGTATAGCATGGTCAGCACTGCCAAGTCTGTTACACGTGTCCCTGAGTGCTCTGACCATATACACAGTGCCATCTGGACATGTAGGGCACGCAGCTCCTAAGGATAAGCCTGTGACTTTCTGACCTTAAGTGGGGCAGATAGAAAAAAGCACAAAGACTGAGTCTCATTCTACAAAGGGTAATAGCTCAGCTCAGCTGAATGTCAGCGTACAGAAAGCTGATGGCTTTCCTCCAGCAGCAGCAGGGAAAGATTTCAGAAAAAGGGGGGGCTGTGAAAGGAGATTTCTGTACATCTTTCTACAGGCTGCTCTGATAGCAGAGGAATTTTAAGCCAGAGAGATGGATGCTTCAGATATCCGTTCCATAAATTGTAGGATAACAGCCTTCTTGTAAAAATCCTCTGGGGTCTTCTTGTGGAAGTGTTGGAAAGGCTGAAGGCTTCCTGTGACTGCAGCCTTTTGGCTCCATTTAACTTTTCTGATGAAGTTCTGATGAGAGTCTACAACAGATGTCTTTAGAGGAAGTTCACCAATAGGGTGAACTAAGCAGGGTGCTCTTTCTTACATGCAAGCAGCTAGATGAATGTACTAGATAAGAGGGTATTTGATATCCTAGGATAAAAGGACCTACTTTTGATCTAAGTTACATAAGGGAGGCATAGGAAGAGCTTCAGAAAAGCCCTTTGACTTACACCAGTATAATGGCACAAGAGCACAGTCAGGCCTCCTATCTTAAGCATTTTTTTAATGTTCAGGAGCACAGATGAGAAATTTTAGAGGCTTAGTATCTCAGCAGATTTTAAAAGAAGTTCAAGGCTATTATTTGTATTTAGTTTATGTGCTCTTTGACTTGGAAGGAAGCCTTCATGTTCTCACTTAAAGTGTTAAAAAAGTACTGGCAACATTGCACTACTAGCATCTGAATTCAATCCAAGTTCATGTAACATCCATTATCTTGGCTGAGTACTATAGTTAGTAAATTGAGCTCTGAGTAACTTACAGAAGTGCCCTGAGAACTAATGCTCATGTTCTTTCCATCTGTCTTCTGGAGAGATGCATCTGCAAAATGTCCTGTTTTGGATAATGGAGCTTTATTTATTATTTTATTTTATTTTATTTTATTTTATTTTATTTTATTTTATTTTATTTTATTTTATATTTCAGTATTGGGACATTTAGCATTTGTTAGGATCAGGAGCTAAGTTTCAGGTTGATGTTCCAGTATATATAGTTTGCTATAGAGTTAATGAAGAGATGCAGAGTTTGTATTAAAAGTAGACTGAATCGCCTTTCGGAGGAGCCTGGTTTCATCTTGTGGCTCTTTAAGGAACCTCAGTCATTGCTATCCAGCATTAAGGGGCCGGTGATAATTATGGTGAATCTAGAGTTTATGGCAATTAACTCTTCAACTCTCTTTACAACATTCCTGGTGTTGGAAAAAAAGATAGAACTTTCCATTAGTTTCAAGAGAGCAAAATTTTGTATCATTCCTTTGTGCTGTCAGGCTTTTTCCAATTTTCCGATGAGGACATAGCTGGATCTTAGCTGCTCTTCAGCATCCAGGTTTTCTTCACACTGAAACTAACATAAATGAATGTCACCTGCTACTACCCATCGTTCCACAGGCTTTCACCAAGACCAGATGAAACAATTCCACATGAGCCAAACATCTAGATCCAGTTTAGATTTCTATTTTTTTTTTTCTTTCTGACATTTACATGAGCAGTAAATGTTCTTCGTAACAGCAGAGAGCATGGCTTATCATTGTCTTAGGTAACACAACAAACATCAGGAATCAATAATGTTTAGTTGACTTGGACTTGCACCTGGTTTTTAATATTGCATGCTGCTTCCAGGGAACTGGGGATTTGGTATTTTCTTGGGGAAATTTGGCTCATTAGAATGAAGAGTTTATGGGAAAGAAGGAATAAACACTCTTTAGCTATTCACAGGATTTTACAGCAAAACTCTGAATAGTCTGAATCAATTTGCTGCATTATACAATGCTTGGTTTGTTAACAGAGCTGCTTCAAATTGCGTCACTTTAGGCTACTCATGTTTCTGCCTAGGACCGTGTTTGCTCATGTGCTGAATCTATCCTTTATTTATTATCAGCTGTTTACTTCTGTTAGCAGACTTTGTTTCTCATTGGAAGGATATCTTTTTATTTGAGTGCTAGTTGGCCCACACTGAAATTCTGGAAATAATAAAGTTGGAGGAAAAGAAAGTATTTTATTTTCCTAATGAATTATGGTTTCCCTGTAGCAAATAGACGATCTTCCTTTAATTTTGAATGCCTCCGCCGACAAAGTAGTCAAGATGACATACCACTCTCTCCAAATTTCCACCATCGCACTGCTTTACCACTTCACTTAATGCAGCAGCAGGTAAATCCATTTTTTTTTTTTAAACTAAAAATGAATTCCATCTTTTTAGCTTCCATATTGTACCTCTGACTGTCATTGTTGCTTGAAACAGTACTAGTGGATAGCACAGTTTGCCTGTGCACTACTTCCAGGCCACGTGTGTACCATGTTCTTTCTGCTAGCTGCTAGATGCAAGGCTCCTCTAACATCTGCCTTCTACAAAACATTGAAAGTGGATAGTTTGCCCCGTGATTATTTAAGTGGAACAAGCAGCTGGCAAACCCCAGTTTTGACCAGGGCTGAATAACGTGGCAACCATTGATTGATCTTTGCACATGGAGTTACTCAGCTGCGTTTGCAAGTACAACCTATACATTTTCTGCAGCTCATTACCCAGCTCTCATGCGGCCCTGAGAAAATGGTAATTTGTACAGCCTAGAGATACCATCCATGATCCTTTGAAAATGCTCAGTAGCTGCAAGCTGCTACTACTGCAATTCTTAAGCAGCCTGCATTTCCCTTGGTCACCTGGGTGAGTTCCTGAAGATCTTCCACCGATCTACTGAGTCAGGGGAAACAGGAAAATCTGCGAGTCGGTACTTTGTGTGCAAACCTCAGTGACTGCAGTATTTTCTACCTGCATAAGGATTTAGTAAAACAAAAGTTTATCTTAATGATTTATCTCTGAGTCAAAGTGTACTGTTTCATTTGGTGCTGCATAAAAACTAGTGTTGTTTCAATGAAAATAGGACAATGAATTTGAATTTCTAGACAATCTTGCAGCTCCCAGTATATAATGTAATAGAGATATATAGCACTAGATGGTCATTACAATGCATGAGGACGTTGCTGTGAAATATAAAGGTGCTTTGGGATAATTAAAAGACGTTTTAACAAGCATAGGCAATATATGGTGAATATAAATTAGCTCACGTTCTGTGTCTGGAGCTGCATCTGATTTGTGTGAATCAGATTATTGCTTCCTATTACATTGTATGTACATCTACTTACTTGATCTAAACTAGATCTTGTGGCATGTAGTCTTACTCATTTTTTGATGTTTTTAATTACTTCAAATTAAATTGAATCATTTGGTTTCATATGATCAAACAAAATCTTTCTGTGGCACAAGTCTCTATCCCCTGCATCATCATGCAGAGAGGACTTGTACCAGTAAGAAAAGTTTTTAAACAATTCTAAATGATGCCAGGTGAACAGGTCACTCTTCCTCAGAGGCTGAGGAAAGCAACGTGCTTAAACCAGTTATAATAACAGAAAAAAAAAATACAATTTTATCTTCTATCTACTAATCGCATTTCTGTTTCTCTTTTACATGACTCTTAAACATCAGAAAATGCTAACTTTGCATTTTAGCAAAAAAAAAAATTTTAGCAAACAGCTTGTTTGCTAAAATCAGAAATGGGTATGACTGAGCATTTGAAATCTCTAAGTTTTAAAATTCTTTCCCACACCAGGTCATGGCTGTTGCAGGTCTGGATTCCAGTAAAGCTCATAAACATTCACCAAGTCGTTCAACACGTTCCTGGGCAACCCCTCCTGCAACCCCTCCCAACAGGGACTGCACTCCGTATTACACACCTCTAATCCATGTTGACAAGGCAGAATCTACAGAGCATATGAATGGTAGCCTGCCTTCCTTGCACAGGAGCTCCTGGTATACAGATGACCCAGATATTTCCTACCGAACATTTACACCAGCCAATTTAACTGTACCTAATGACTTTAGGCATAAACATAGTGACAAGCAGAGGAGTGCAGACAGTTTGGTAGAAGCGGTAAGTATTGCAGAAACCTCTAAAGTAGTCAAGTGTGTCTGCTCAGTTTTTATGTTAACTTTAAAAAGCACATTGCTCAGTTCATATGATCTCCCTGAAAATGTGGCATTTTCACTTTCAAATGAAACAGTTTTTAGGTAAAGATAGGGGAACTTCTTCTGAGTTGTCATGTTATAAAGGATTTCAGGTAAATCCAAATCTTAACATAAGTGTGAGGGAGCTGGAAATCAAACTGCAAGAAATAAGTGGAAGAAAAATTGGAAACACTTCAAGGACAGGATTTAAAATTAAATTTAAGTTTATTAGACAATGAGGATTAGTTGTAAAGTATCCTTCTACAAGGGCTGTAGGGGAAGGATAGCAGACCAGTTTTCTCTGTATTTTTTTCTATATAAATACATCACTATTTTTGAAGTAATCTAAATAAAAGAACAAGAATTCTATGAATCAATATACTAGGTGTGGAGAGGATGAATAAGGACCACAAGGTTTGAGTTGTAGTATACTAAAGAATGCTAAGAATTCCTTTGTATTATATATAAAAAAAAGGGGGGGGGGATTTGAAGATAAGTAAAATAATGTACTGCATTTCTGAGTATCATAGTTACTGTTCTTGCTTCCATCTATCACTTGGATCATTGATTTGCCGAGGCGATGGGCTTCAAAGCAGACGCGTTGTGCAGCGGAGCGGGGGACTGGGACAGGCAGGGCTTTTTTCCGGCACCGAGCCCACTCGACGCAGCCAAGGTTGCCGCCAGGGCACGGCAGCCCTTGCGAGGGAGGTGTAGGCGGAGCCAGCAGCGCCCCCCATGCCCTGATGATCAGAAGCAGCCCCTGGGAGCGCTGCGAGCAGGGCGGGCACACAGGGCGGGGCAGGGTGGGGCAGGGCAGGGCAGGGCAGGGCAGGGCAGGGCAGAGCGTCCTGCCCTGCTCAGGAGCAGCTCGGCTGTCAGCTGTCTGCCTGGAGCTGAACCGCCATGGTCTGCACGAGGCAGAAAGCTCTTTCAAGAAAGTCTGTGATGACCCAGACTGAGTGCCCGCTCAAACATGCGACAGTTCAGGTCTCTGGATGCAGGGAGTGCCTGAGCCTGTTGTTGCCCTCAGAGGGCACCGTGTGTGTGAGGTGCGAGCAGGTGGATGACCTGGTCCGCCTGGTGGTGGAGCTCAAGGAGGAGGTGGAGAGGTTGAGGGCTATCTGGGAGTGCGAGCGGGAGACAGACGGGTGGGGCAACTCCCTGCCAGGCCTGAAGGAGAGGTACCGGGCTGAGACACCCCAAATGGGGGTGGACCCCCTGCCCTGTTGCAGTTGGGCAGAGGGAGGGGACCTGGGAGTTGAGGGATGGAGACAGGTCCCTGATCGACCTCGCAGGCAATGCCCCCCCTACCGGCCCCACCTTCCCAGGTGCCCTTACACAACAGGTTTGAGGCCCTGGATCTTGAGAGACCGGTGGGTGAGGATGAGGTGGTAGGTCTACCCAGGAGGATGCCTAGGGTGAGGAAATTGACTCCACACCTCAGGACTGCCTCCACCAAGAAAGACAGAAGGGTAATCGTTGTAGGCGACTCCTTTCTCGGGGGAACAGGGGGCCCTATTTGTCGGCCTGACCCTACCCGTAGGGAAGTCTGCTGCCTCTCTGAGGCCAGGGTCAGGGACATTGCCAGAAATCTTCCCAACCTGGTTTGCCCCTCTGATTGCTATCCTCTTTTGATAGTCCAGGCTGGCAGTGATAATATTCAAGAGAGAAGCCCGAAGGCTATCAAATGGGAGTTTTAGGGGACTGGGAAGCTTAGTGGATGGAGCGGGAGTACAGGTGGTGTTTTCTTCCATCCCTACAGTGGCAGGGAGGGGTACAGAGAGGACATGGAAAGCCCACCTGATAAACCCTGTGGCACAGAGGCTGGTGCCAACACAGAATTTTTGTTTTTTTTTTTTTGACCATGGGGCACTTTACACGGCACCCTGGCCTGGTGGCCGCAGATGGGTCCATATCTCTAAGGGGAAAATGGATCCTAGGCCAGGAGCTGGCGGGCCTCATTGAGAGGGCTTTAAATTGGGTCAGAAGGGGGACAAGCTGAAACAAGGCTTGTTAGAGCTGTGCCAGGGGTAACAATGGCTAGGCCAGAGGAGAAGGCAATGGCCCAACTGAAGTGCATCTACACTAATGCACACAGCATGGATAACAAACAGGAGGAGCTGGAAGCCATCGTGCTGGCAGCCAGGCTATGACTTGGTTGCCATCACAGAAACGTGGTGGGACCACACTCATGACTGGAGTGCTGCAATGACTGGCTATAAGCTCTTCAGAAGGGACAGACAGCACAGAAGGGGTGGTGGTGTGGCTCTCTTAATCAGAATTTTGATGTCATGGAACTTGAGGCTGGGAATGATAAGGTTGAGTCCCTATGGATTAGGATCAGTGAGAAGGCCAACAAGGCAAGCATCCTTGTGGGGGTCTGTTATACACCGCCAAACCAGGATGAGGAGACAGATGAGGAGTTCTACAGGCAGCTGACAGAAATTGCAAAATCGTCAGCGCTTGTTCTTGTGGGGGACTTCAACTTTCCAGACATATCCTGGAAGCACAACACAACCCAGAGAAAGCAGTCTAGGAGGTTTCTGGAGAAAGTGGAAGATAGCTTCCTGATGCAGCTGGTTAGTGAACCTACCGGGGAGGTGCCCCACTAGACCTGCTGTTCACAAACAGAGAAGGACTGGTGGGAGATGTGGTGGCTGGGAGCTGTCTTGGGCAGAGTGACCACAAAATGGTAGAGTTCTCTATTCTTGGTGAAAGCGGGAGGGGGACCAGTAAAACCACAGTCTTACACTTCCGTAGGGCTGACTTTGAGCTGCTCAGGACACTGGTTGGCAGAGTCCCTTGGAAGGTGGTTCTGAAGGGCAGAGGAGTCCAGGAAGGCTGGGCGCTCTTCAAGAAGGAAAGCTTAATGGCGCAGGAGTGGTCTGTCCCCACATGCCCAAATATGAGCCAGTGCGGAAGAAGACCGGCCTGGCTGAACAGAGAACTGTGGCTTGAGCTTAGGAGAAAAAAGAGGGTTTATAATCTTTGGAAAAGAGGGCGGGAAAAGAGGGCGGGCCACTCAGGAGGACTACAAGGATGTTGCGAGGCAGTGCAGGGACAAAATTAGAAAGGCCAAAGCTAACCTGGAGCTCAATCTGGCTACTGCCATTAAAGATAACAAAAAATGTTTTTATAAATACATCAACACAAAAAGGAGGACTAAGGAGAATCTCCATCCTTTACTGGATGCGGGGGGAAACTTAGTTACAAAAGATGAGGAAAAGGCTGAGGTGCTTAATGCCTTCTTTGCCTCAGTGTTTAGCAGCAAAACCAATTGTTCTCTGGACACCCAGTACCCTGAGCTGGTGGAAGGGGATGGGGAGCAGGATGTGGCCCTCACTATCCATGAGGAAATGGTTGGTGACCTGCTACAGCACTTGGATGTACACAAGTCGATGGGGCTAGATGGGATCCATCCGAGGATACTGAGAGAACTGGTGAAGGAGCTGGCCAAGCCGCTTTCCATCATTTATCAGCAGTCCCCCCTGGCTAAAGGGGGAGGTCCGAGTCGATTGGCGGCTAGCAAACATGATGCCCATCAACGAGAAGGGCCGGAGGGCAGACCCAGGGAACTATAGGCCTGACAGTTTGACCTCAGTGCCAGAGAAGTTCATAGAGCAGATTATCTTGAGAGTCATCATGCAGCACTTGCAGGGCAAGCAGGCGATCAGGCCCAGTCAGCATGGGTTTATGAAAGGCAGGTCCTGCTTGATGAACCCGATCTCCTTCTATGACAAAGTGATGCGCTGGGTGGATGAGGGAAAGGCTGTGGATGTGGTCTACCTTGACTTCAGTAAGGCTTTTGACACTGTTTCCCACAGCATTCTCCTCAAGAAACTGGCTGCTCATGGCTTGGATTGGTGTATGCTTTGTTGGGTTAGAAACTGGCTGGATAGCCGGGCCCAAAGAGTCGTGGTGAATGGAGTCAAATCCAGTTGGAGGCCGGTCACTAGTGGCATTCCCCAGGGCTTGGTACTAGGGCCAGTCCTCTCTAATATCTTTATCGATGATCTGGATGAGGGCATTGAGTGCACCCTCAGTAAGTTCGCAGATGACACCAAGTTAGGTGTGTGTGTTGATCTGCTTGAGGGTAGGAAGGCTCTGCAGGAGGATCTGGATAGGCTGCACTGATGGGCTGAGGTCAACTGTATGAAGCTCAACAAGGTCAAGTGCCGGGTCCTGCACCTGGGGTGCAATAACCCCAAGCAGCGCTACAGGCTGGGAGAGGAATGGTTGGAAAGCTGCCTGGCGGAGAAGGACCTGGGAGTATTGGTTGATAGTTGGCTGAATATGAGCCAGCAGTGTGCTCGGGTGGCCAAGAAGGCCAACAGCATTCTGGCTTGCATAAGAAGCAGTGTGGCCAGCAGGTCTAGGGAAGTGATTGTCCCCCTGTACTTGGCTCTGGTGAGGTCGCACCTCGAGTACTGTGTTCAGTTTTGGGCCCCTCGCTACAAGAAGGACATGGAGGTGCTAGAGCGAGTCCAGAGAAGGGTGACGAAGCTGGTGAGGGGTCTGGAAAACAAGTCCTACGAGGAGCGGCTGAGGGAGCTGGGTTTGTTCAGCCTGGAGAAGAGGAGGCTCAGAGGTGACCTTATTGCTCTCTATAGGTACCTTAAAGGAGGCTTTAGCGAGGTGGGGGTTGGTCTGTTCTCCCACATGCCTGATGACAGGACAAGGGGGAATAGTTGAAAGTTGTGCCAGGGGAGGTTTAGGTTGGATATTAGGAAGAAACTTCTTTACCGAAAGGGTTGTTAGACATTGGAACAGGCTGCCCAGGGAAGTGGTGGAGTCACCATCCCTGGAAGTCTTCAAAAGACGTTTAGATGTTGAGCTTAGCGATATGGTTTAGTGGAGGACTTGTTAGTGTTAGGTCAGAGGTTGGACTCGATGATCTTGAGGTCTCTTTCAACCTAGATGATCCTGTGATTCTGTGATTTGTGATTTAGCATGGAGTTTCTAGTATTTTCCACAAATGAAAAACATTTTTATGATCTGAATGTCCTTCCATAATTCCACTTTATATCTCATTCTCTCCTCTCCATCTGCCAGGTACTTATATCTGAAGGCTTAGGAAGGTATGCAAAAGACCCTAAATTTGTCTCAGCTACAAAACACGAGATTGCTGATGCGTGTGACATGACTATTGATGAGATGGAAAGTGCAGCAAGTAATCTTCTCAATGGAAATATTAGCAATGGGACCAATGGTGATATGTTTCCCATTTTAAGCAGACAAGATTATGAACTTCAAGACTTTGGTCCTGGCTACAGTGATGAAGAACCAGAACCAGGACGATATGAAGAAGACTTAGCTGATGAAATGATATGCATTACAAGCTTATAGTATTTAGTAAGGAAAATGATTTTAATAACAGAAAAAGTGCCTCATAGTTTAAAGATGCTAGGCACTAGTTGGAGTTAATAACCTATCAAGTTTTGTACAAGTGATGTCACACCTCAAGGAAGCCATAACTAATAAATAGATTATCTCCGGGTTGCTGAATTGTGATTGAAGTTGGGTACGTCAAGTTCCTCCCACAGAATCGTCAGTTCCTCTGTAGGAATAAGGTTATTTTGAAACCAAGCAGGTTATGACAGTCAAGTTTTTGAGGGCTAGAGTGGGATTCTGAGGTGTAATATCTTGCCTGTCTTTCAACCTTGTGCTGCTGTCCTTCATAGTAGAGCAGGATTTTGTCAATGAAATGTCTGTGTAATTCCAGCACAAAATTGTGTGGGAAATAACAAGATGAGTGATGACAACCAATAATGTCATTCCTTCATTCCTAATCAATAGCATATCAGCTATTCATTGCATATCCATTCTAAAATTATTTTCAAACCTGCCTCCTGATTTCTTTTCTTAATGCTCTTCTAAAATACAGTTTGTCATGCTCTACCTGTTAGAAATCATTGGAAAAAGAAGTTATATAAAGAATATTCTGTCATATGTAACACCAGTTTACATAGGAAAATATCATTCAGATAGTCTGTTTTATGACTATCACGTTAAGGGCAAAACATACTGGAATAACTGCATTCTGACTAATGCACTTGCAACCAGGTTAAAGTAGAATTAGATAAGATAGTTTGCTAAAAATTATATAGTAGAAATTATTGTAAATGAATTGTAATATATACTGATTTGTATTTGTAAAGAGATGTTCTATATTTTGTAATTATTGTACCGTAATTGAACTGCAGCAATATTTATGGACCCTAATTATTGTAACTCCCCACAGAATTCTAGATATAAGTATTTTTACTTGGGATATATAGATCTATAGCATAAATATTTAAATATAGCCACCTCTCATTGTAAATCTCTTTTAGGGATAAACTGTCAAGTTTGAACTTGGCAACACACTTTTTTTTTTTTTTTTTAATAATTGAGTTAAATGAGTCTCTCTGTGTAGGGGATGCACAGTTGACTATTTGCAGTCTTATACTTGGAAAGGTAAAAGCTTTGAAATTATTTTAACTTTTTGGATTGAAAAATAAGCTGTAATTTTATTTTTGTATTAATCCCATGTGACAAAAATATTAAAATCATTAAAAATTTGACAAGTTCATGCCAGGGTACTACTGCTCATGGGACAGTTCATTTTGGCAAAGTATATTACCTACATAACCTACTTTGATAGGAATTGTGTAGGGCAGAAACTGTTTTACAGGTAAATGAAAATACTTTACTTCAGTATTGCTTACTTAACTCAGCTCAGAAAAAAAAAAAAAAAGGATATGAGGAAATGATTCTTCACAGAACCAAAAAAAAACCTTGGTTATATAAAAATATACTTTATTGCCTCTACCTTTTTGTTTTTTTTTTATGTGTAATGTTTCAAAAATTTATTTTTATGCAATCATAAGAGGGCTCAGATATTGTTCACAATGCAGTAAAACCCTGAAATGACTTTGAGGCTAATACAACCTTGGAGGAAAATCAAAAAACACTGAAAGTTACTGTCTATTTTGTTAGCACTGGATAACAATGACTTGTTCGAACAAGTTATCTTGCCAGGTTTTACCTGTAGTTCATATGCTAGATAGCAATCCAGTTCACATTTTTACAAATGTGATGTTTAAATCATGTCAATAAATATTTTGTACATAATGACAATTTCCTATGAATAGCTTACAGACTTCCTTTGGAATCATTCTTATTTCAAATGCCAGGATAAGAACTTAAAAGTTTGTAAATTATTTCTTGACCTACATCATTTTGTATTAAAACAAATGCGAAATGTTCAAAATAAAACTGTGTACTAATTTTATTATACTTGGGACTCCTTTTGCTAACAGTTTTTCACCACGAAGCTCCAAAGGTTAAATTCTGATTGCACTGTTTGGAGAATGAGAGGGAATGCACGGAATTCAATAATCAATCTACTCTATCATAGTGTGCAAGTCTTATGAATGATTACTGTTCACCAGAAAGGAGTAATGTGATTAGAGTAATTCTATGAAATGGCTACTCTTATTCCCCTACTGTCTAGGAGATTAATACGCCCCTTGATGCAGATCTGTGGAAACAGTCAGGAAAATCTGGGCAACCCCCTAAAATGTCAAAACCAAATCTACTGTGTTCATCTGCCAGGAAACACTGGGACAGGTAACCCAGCTGTACTCACTTTGTTACACATCCCAGTTTACAGAAGCAAACTTCAGGATACCCAAATACACTTTCCAGATGTGATACCACTGTGAAAAAAGAGTGAGTAGTTTTCACAGTTCCACTCATTTCTGAAAAGCACCTTTAAGGCAGCTGAAGCTGAACAGTAAAAAAGAAAAAAAAGGGGTGTGGGGGGCAAGGCCAAGCAGGGGATGTCCCAACCCAGGTTGCTTAAGTACATGGACTTTTCATAGCACATCCGATTCAGCAGATTGAGCTGAACAATTTTTTAATTAAGTATTTGTCCAAGGAGACAGAAAAGGATACGCTGATCTCACCGTGTTTTCTTGCTAGTATTGTTAGTCCTTAGCTTTGAAATAGTCTGATGAGACAGATGTTCTTTTACATAGATATGCTATTTTATGAGCAAACAGTCCTTACAAAAATAAATAAAGGAAATTCAGCTACAAGCCATTTCTAGATAGTTAATGGTTTAAGGGAGAACATATATATACGGATACATAGAATACCTGTTCAATTTTATTACAGAAATGTAAGGGGAAAAAAAGTAATCCATATATGCATAATTACATGGTAATTGGCAACCTTAAAATACAGCCAATCATAGTTATCACTCAATACAGAAAAACTACAAGTCAACTCAACCATTAAAGCATATTTCATGAGTTTCCAGATTTGCTTATACATGTATATGGATATAATGACAGAAACGTTATAGCTGATCATTAACACAGATTTAAACATTGCTAAGAAAAGTATAGTCTGAAAAAGCGTACATAAAAATGTATTTGAACAGTGTTTTTTTGGAGGTTGGATGACAGAACAATGTAGACTAAAAATTGGAACACTCTAATATGATATGCTTGTGTTCTCTCTATAACTTTTTAACCATTACTTGTCTAAGATGCATAAATGCTTTTGTATGTTTCTTTTACAGAGAATGCATGGTAAAAGCCCACTTTCCACTTTTCCAGTGTTTCTACAGCTGCCTTATTTGGTTGTAGACTAACTGAAATCTTGAACTTAAAAAGTATTTTAAGCTGTGGAAACATCAGAAGTTCTGATGTACAAAAGCTCGAGTGGCCTAACTTAAAGAAGATGCAGTTTTACAAATGCTGCTATTTTCTGCTGCTTTTAAAAGCACTTCTCATACTAAAGCAACTTGAACTGAGATACATGTACAAAAAGAAATGTTTTTGGTTGCTTTTCTTTCTTAATCGGATTGTCCCCAGCCAGAGACCTCCAAGTGAGTGTGAAGCATCTGCAGCAAGCTATTAGCATGGAAATGCTGATGTTCTCACTGGTGGTACTGCTGCTGTTCAAGTCATATTGGCAGGTCTAGTAACTTCCAAATTCTTGTATCAAGCTCTTTTTACAGTTTTTGAATACATAATGCAGTACCAATTGCTTATTTATAGAAAAAAAATAATACCTGTGTAGAACTGGAAATAATACTCAGTTATTCACTATATTATTTTGTTAAATAAGTAAAATTCTGGAATCATCAGCCTGTGCTCTGCATCATCTAATAAGGTGTACAGACATCTAAATTTTAGCTTGCAGGCTCCCAGTACTCTACAGAGCACAGAGAACTGAAAAAAAAAAAAAAAAAAAAGAAAAGATGATGGTTCAGATATCAGATATGTCTGATTATCTGATTGCACAATGCAGCAACATGTCCCCCAAATATAAGAGAGACATGCATTTTGCATATACAGCTAAGCTTGCTATGGTAGAAGATAGTCCTAGGTGTGCTCAGTAGTAAGTTATGTAACACAGTGGCTAGTTAATCCTCTGCAGTTTCATAGTAACAATTTACATCTTGCATGCCTAGAGTGGAAACCAATGTTGTAAATCTGCAAATGCAGGACCATCAATATCCTGGCTTTTCTAAAAGCTGCCCTGTTCAACTGCACAGGACTGTGGTAAGTTTCCTCAGGATATGTCATTCTGTGTATCCTAATACTTTATATTCCAAATGGCACTAAGATACAGTGAATAGCTTTAAATGAAAATCTCAAAAGCGCAGGTGTTGAATAAAAGCCATTATTTGCCATAAAAATGATACACCATATACAATTCATGCTTTCCCCAAAGGCACATAAGACACAGTTGTGTCAGATGAATTGTCTTATTAACACAGCCAGTCATTCACCTCTGACTTAAAATAATCTTGATCCCCTCATTCCACAAGAATGTATGATGTACATAGAAACGGTTTACCTGTCTCCTTTGAGAGTGACGTTCACTGCTATCATCTTCTATCTTCAGTATTTTTGTTACACTAATCAATTAAGTCTTTTCCCTCAGCAGCAGGGCTTCCAACCAGTGCCTTGCAGCAGCACCAGGTAGAAGAATCTGCCTTAAACATCTGCAGTTGTGCCTCTAGCCAACATCTGAGTAAGCAGGTTTTTTTTATTTCAATGTGCTCAAATGGTGTAAAATTCCATTTTTCCTGGAAAAAAATGTATTCTGTTCATCAGAAGTCCTGAGCAATCTCAAGCTACAAAAGCATTTTCTTTATAATTCAGCAGCAGCTTAGTCAGAAGATATTTTGGAATACTTAACAAATCCATACAATTGAATGAATTAATTCATTCAATTAATTCAATTTGTTTATTTTTCTAAATTATTATTATTTTTAATTCAGCATCTGAAAGACTGATACAGAAAACAGCCATGAAAGATCATTTTGCTTGGCACATCTGAAAACAGTAAAAAGACTTAAGTTCTATTTAAAGCATTGGTTTACTGAATACGTTACTTGGCTTCTAATTTAAAAAGATCTCTTCCTACATCATTGAAGCAGCATATTTAATGCAGCTATTTTGAGTAAACTTCCATTTTAAAACTACCTTGGCTCTATTTTATTAATGAATTTTAGTGACAGATGACTTATGATTGAGTATTTGCTGAGAAATATAATACCTTTGAGCAAAGACCAGTAACTTTAAGGAAGTTATTGGGAGCATGGACTCTTACTATGATACGTGATAAAGCAGCACAACTAAATCAGCTAAAAATGTAAACTGAATTCTACTACAGTTCTTGCAATAAAAGGAAGGAAATCCAGTTTTTCAGTATATTTTTATAAATATCAGCTTTTGTTCAGCATTTATTAAAAAATTAATTTTTGATAAAGACAATGTATGTCTTCTTTCTGAATATAGTTAAGACTGCTAGGTATGATAAAGTGTAACTTTCAGTGAGGATTTGTAAACTGCATTCCTCCCATAAAAAGCACACACCATGTAGGTGTCTGTCCTATCAATGCTGATACTACTTTGGCCTGTGAATAAGAAGTTAAGTAAATGCTTACTTAACCATTCTTTTCAGCACATGGAGATTGCTGATTAGCTGTTACCCTGGGTAATGCTCTCAAAACAGTTAAAATGCTTCCTTGAAATAGCAAGGCATATCATAAGGGTTTTCAAAATAGCACACATGAAAAGTTCATTAAAATGAAACTCAAGCCTACTGGTTAAAAAACTGATTAGATAATCTTCTATAAGAGAATGGATCAAATTAATGGTTACTTTAATATAACGTGTTGTTTTGCATAGCTTTTATTCAGTTGGCATGTCCAGTATGACACACCAACATGCTGATTAAGTGGCAAAAGTATGAAAGGATGACAACATTGTTTATCGTTGTGTTTCTAAGGTCTTGGGCTTATATACAGGAGCATTTTTCTCCTGAAGTGACGGAAGCCCCTTAATTATGTCTGCAGCTTTCTCTGCTATCATAATAGTTGGGGCATTCAAATTCCCACTGACAATACTGGGCATTATTGAGGCATCTACTACTCTCAAATTTTCAACACCAATTACTTTTGTTTGGGGATCAACTACAGCGGTGCTATCTGAAAGCTGACCCATTTTACAGGTGCAGGAAGGATGATAAGCACTATCAGCCTTCTGTCTTATGAAAGCATCTATTTCTTTGTCAGACTGAACATGGTTTCCTGGTTGAATTTCAGGCCCACGAAATTTTTCAAAAGCTTTCTGAGCAAATATCTCCCTGGTCAGCTTGACACACTGGCGGAATTCCCAAATATCTCTTTCTGTAAGGAAAGAAAATAAGAGGACTGTAAGTGCACTCTTATATAACAGAAAAAAATAGCATCAAAGAAGGAAGGCTGGAGGGGACGTCTCCCACTTATTGCTGAAGGCCAAAATAAAGCCAAACAGTTTTTAAAGTCAGATATTTACATTCACTGTGAGCAAAATTGCTACATATCTGGCACACTCTCAAAAGGGAATAAGGAGAAAAAATGAACATAACCCAGGCAAATGTTAAGAACTCTGACGGCATCTGCAGCGCAGAATTCTGTAGGTTTATACAGTGCTTTGCACAGAGGCTTCTTTGATATTAACTGACTTTAAAATTAAATAACAAGGCACCAACCATCACTTCTGAACTGTTGTTGAGTAGATGTGAAATTCTGCTACTGAAATGGGCACAAAATGAGTTAATCAGATGAAGGAAAGGCTGCTTTTACCTGTTGACATGTAGTTAGGCTCAATGATTGGATGATCCGTTGGGTTTGTACTTTTCAGTTTCACCCAGCCTACACTTGTGCTCCTCATGGGTCCCACGTGGACCTGCAATAGCCACACCATGCTCATGACACAATCCCAACAGACATATTTCCAAATTCAGTGTGATTTTTTTTTTCAAGATTTTACAAATTAAGCAACTGTAAATGTTAAAGGAAGATAATGAAAAAAGTCAAAGTATGAATATTTTTCCATTTTATATAAATTTACAGAATCACGGAATCATCTAGGTTGGAAGAGACCTCCAAGATCACCTAGTCCAACCTCTGACCTAACACTAACAAGTCCTCCACTAAACCACATCACTAAGCTCTACATCTAAACATCTTTTAAAGACCTCCAGGGATGGTGACTGAACCACTTCCCTGGGCAGCCTATTCCAATGCCCTTTCTAAAGGCATCTGCCTAAACTGCAGTGGAGCAGGGAACACCTTGGGTTAGTTTTGTACAGCATCTAGCACAATGGTATCCTAATGAACAGCACTATGACACCTGAGTAGTGCAAATACTTAAATATTTTCCCAGAGATAAAAAGCAACATAATTTTGGTAGCAATATCAAATAATAAGCCTGTATTTTTCCCCGGTGTAGGTTAAGCCAACTCTTTGTGTAATAATGAAAAAGGTATTTTCCTGTATATAGCCAAATTAGCGATGATTATACTAAATGGTAAGACTACTTACTAATTGCTACAGAACATTACTCTTCAAATATATGCTCTTCAAAAACTCACCTGGTAAGCTTCCATTGTTGAAGCAACGCGACCATGATCAACCACCTGAGAAGGAAGAAAGTGGAACTGAATGTCAGGGTGAGGAACTCCTGGCTCACTTCGAATAAACCCACCAGATTCTAAGTGGGCAGTGGCTCCATCACCTAGAGAGTGTAAATGAGAGAGAAAAAGCCATTACAAGACCTCAGAACAGCAATAAATCTACTTCTTCTTAACCCTTGTTTTACTATAGTTTATAATGTATACATGTATATACAGTGGAAACTGCAAGGAATGCAAATGTTTATGAAGAGCTTGCAATTTAAGCAATATGCACCACTTTCACCTACTTCTGAATCACTAGGTAACTGTAACTACATCTAATTTTGGAAATTCCAGTTATTTGAGAGTAGGATGTTACAGTTACCTCAGTGTAACTGGCAGAAGCACTGCCAGAGGCAGATCTGTAATCAATATCCTGACAGGTGTGGAGGGAACCAGCTGCAGCATCCTGATATCACTGCACTGCATGCTCCATGACATGCAGCATAACTATCCCATTAGTCACATGTAACAGGCAGAGCCATCCCCAGCGCCTACCCTGAAGGGAAAAGATGAAGAGACTACGATGCCCCTCATATTATGTTATTTTCAAATCCATTTAAAACCATGATTCAGCCCTCAGTTCGTATTTACTTGCATGGTAAAATGCCACATGTACACAGCGTAAATCATCGCTTTGGATCAACTGCTAACATAAGGATTAAGCAGGAGATGAAGTCCTTGAGTTTGGCCAAACTATTTTACTGATTTCAATGATGACTTTTACAAACTCTTTTTAAAATACAACGTACAGTTGGATCATTATAAAACTACAGTGTCATTTTTAACAGAAGTCACTCTTATTCACCTGCAAGCCTAATGGGTTCTGGTCAGAACAACAAATACTTCATTTGGGGTGAGATAATGAAAAACAAATTCACAGTACATTTTAATCTACACAGTATCTATTTCTAAATAGATTTTTTTCTTAATTTTTATTTTTTAAAACAGCTTTTCTCAGGCACCAAGATTTAAAAGTAGGTTATTTTCTTAAAATTAAGGAGATTCAACTGTGTTAAAAAAATGTTTAAAACCTCACTTGATAATTAAGACATAACAATTTTAAAAGACTCCTACCTGTAAGAAAAAGAAATCTTTCAGGCCTATTTGGAAGATCCAGTTATTTAGTGGACATGAAAAACAATTTATATAAAGGTTCACAGACTTTGAAATTCACAGACAAAAGGCTGTAATAATTCAGAAGTGATGAACAGAGGAACAATACTTGCATACTTTGTTTCATACCTGTGAACTTCCAAAGCCATTCTAGACCAATCCTTGCCATTCTAACCGGCTTTTGTGCACTATACAGAGTGATAGGTTTGGTGCACTTTTGCTGGACGTACACTTCTAAGTGATCTTGAAGATTCTGGCCTACTCCTGATTAAATGTTTAAAAACAGGGCAGGAGGGAGAAGAAAAGAAAAAGTTATTTCACAGAGAACAATTATAAATAACATTTGCTACCAGAAAACAACACAAATGGGAACTAAACTAACCTCTTACAAGGGCAGTGATGACTAACACCAAGACCATGAGTCATATCAGCCTTTTGCTCATGTCAGAACAAGGTTTTACATAAACATAGCATAACTAGAATGAAAATAGAAAGTTAAATGTAGACATATCACTTGTTCTAAAATTGCCAGATTTGACTTCTAAATACAGTGCTAGATTTTCTAGTTCAAAGGAAAAGTTTACGTTATTCCTTCCATTTTTGAATATATATGACGATGGAAGCTTATGCAATCTGTTGTGGATCAAAACCACTCATCCAAAATTCTAAATATGCTGCTTTAAAGCTATTCAGTGGCATTTTTCATAGAATCATAGAATCATAGAATATCCTGAGTTGGAAGGGACACTTAAGGATCATCAAGCCCAACTCTTGACACCGCACAGGTCTACCCAAAAGTTCAGACCATGTGACTAAGTGCACAGTCCAATCTCTTCTTAAATTCAGACAGGCTCGGTGCAGTGACCACTTCCCTGGGGAGCCTGTTCCAGTGTGCAACCACCCTCTCTGTGAAGAACCCCCTCCTGATGTCAAGCCTAAATTTCCCCTGCCTCAGCTTAACCCCGTTCCCGCGGGTCCTGTCACTGGTGTTAATGGAGAAAAGGTCTCCTGCCTCTCGACATCCCCTTACGAGGAAGTTGTAGACTGCGATGAGGTCTCCCCTCAGCCTCCTCTTCTCCAGGCTGAACAGGCCCAGTGCCCTCAGCTGTTCCTCGTACGTCTTCCCCTCCAGGCCTTTCATCATCTTCGTAGCCCTCCTCTGGACACTCTCCAACAGTTTCATGTCCTTTTTATACTGTGGTGCCCAGAACTGCACACAGTACTCGAGGTGAGGCCGCACCAGCGCAGAGTAGAGCGGGACAATCACCTCCCTCGACCTACTAGCGATGCCGTGCTTGATGCACCCCAGGACACGGTTGGCCCTCCTGGCTGCCAGGGCACACTGCTGGCTCATATTCAACTTGCTGTCTACCACGACCCCCAGATCCCTCTCTTCTAGGCTGCTCTCCAGCATCTCATCGCCCAGTCTGTACGTGCAGCCAGGGTTTCCCCGTCCCAGGTGCAGGACCCGGCACTTGCTCTTATTGAACTTCATGTGGTTGGTGATCGCCCAGCTCTCCAACCTATCCAGATCCCTCTGCAAGGCCTTTCCACCCTCATTCGAGTCCACAACTCCTCCAAGTTTGGTGTCATCAGCAAACTTGCTCAAAATACCTTCTATTCCTACATCCAGATCGTTTATAAAAATATTGAAAAGTACCGGCCCTAAAATGGAGCCTTGAGGGACCCCACTGGTGACCGCCCGCCAGCCTGACGCAGCCCCATTCACCATAACCCTTTGGGCCCTGCCCGTTAGCCAATTGCTCACCCATCGTATGATGTTTTTATTTAGCTGTATGCTGGACATTTTGTCCAGTAGGATCCTATGGGAAACCGTGTCAAAAGCCTTGCTGAAGTCCAAAAAAATCACATCAGCTGGTTTCCCTTGGTCCACCATACGGGTGATCTTATCATAAAAGGAAATCAGGTTAGTTAGGCAGGACCTACCCTTCACAAACCCATGCTGGCTGGCACCAATGACTGCTTTGTCCCCCAGGTGCACCTCAATAAGTTCGAGAACCATCTTCTCCATGATTTTACCAGGCACTGACGTGAGACTGACAGGCCTGTAATTGCTAGGGTCTTCTTTCTGACCCTTCTTGAAAATCGGCACAACATTTGCCAGCTTCCAGTCTACCGGGACCTCTCCAGATTCCCAGGATCGTTGAAAAATAATTGAGAGAGCTGCTTTAAAGCTATTCAGTGGCATTTTTCAGAAAGGCATTTTCCGCTATCAAATATAGTGAAGAAACCGTAGGAGGTTATTGCTCCGTTTTAAAACCAGTGCATTTCCACAGATTTGTAACACTATTAGTTTCTGTCCACACAACTTGACATAAAGACAACCAAATTTCATGGATTTGTTCCATTTAATGGTCTGAATTGCCTCCTTAGGAAGGTACAAGGTTGAAAGAAGTAATAAAATTACCAGGAAGGTGACAAACAACAGGGATCCCCAGTTTTTTTAGATCATCTGCATTGCCAATCCCAGACAACATAAGCAGCTGTGGAGAATTTATGGCACCTCCACTTAAAATAACTTCTTTACTGGCAAAAGCCTAAAATGAAACAAGCACAAAAGTCCTTACATTATTAAGCTTGATCTGAATGTGACACATCAAGAGCTTCTGCTCAGATACTATTATGAGCCAGATTAGACACCCTTTCCCCACATTTTTCCTGTTCCAAATCTTTCAGTAAAGAGAAATGCTCAAGCTTACAGTCTGAGGGGACAAGCCATAACTTGATGTTGCACAAGAGCATTGTGTAATATTTCGAGCTGGAACCTATGTTGTAATTGTACACTGTCTCTGTATATTGACTAGTGTGCTGAAATACTGGGATTTCTGAAAAGCAATTCTGAAAACGCTGTAGAGGGAAATACAATGGAGATGTTAATCTCTCAGTCAAGACAACTGAAATATCACTTGCTGTAAAGTAACTCACAAGGAATCATACACAGGAAGAGAAAACAGTTTCAGAAAGCTTATATTTTGTATAGTGAAGCATCTCTTGCAACATGTTTTCCTTCCTTCCTTCCTTCCTTCCTTCCTTCCTTCCTTCCTTCCTTCCTTCCTTCCTTCCTTCTTCCTTCCTTCTTCCTTCTGTCCGTCTTTCTGTCTTTTTAAATTTTGCTTCAAATAACGTATTTTATACTGGAAAATAAAAATCTCTTACCTTTTTCCTTTGACCATTTTTCAAATACTCAACACCAATGGATTTTGTTCCTTGAAACAAGATTTTTGTTACAAGTGTCTTCTCTGTGATTGACAAATTTGGGCGGGATACGGCTGGGTGAAGGTAAGCACTCGCTGCGCTCCATCTTTGACCTACAATTTATATTAACATAGAAAATCAAAATAGTCATGCTAAATATTCTTCAAGATTTTCACCAATACCAATTAGGACGTTTATACAGGTTTTATATACTCTTCTGTAGAGTTCAAAGCAAATGTGCTTTGATATAATAACTAAAGATTTTATTTTAACATAACAAACTTCTCAGTGACATTCTGCAAACCTACTCTCCCAAATTTAACTACTAATCAAGACCTGGATGCCAACTCAAATTTCAATGAAATACAGCCTAGACTGATAACAAGCTGCTGTGAAACGAATACATATATATTTAGAGTGTAGTAGCTGTTCAGCAAACCAAACAACTGAAAGCGCAGATTATACATCTGTATTCTAAAATGCTTTCAGAGGCACTTCTGGTGGGTCAGAAACACAAATTCCTTACAGAATCCTTTATGATTTACCTTTGTGTACAGTCATGTCCATCCAGCCAAATCCTTCTTGCTGATAGCCATTCATATCATCTGTGAAGGGATACCCAGCTTGCTGAGTTGCCTCCAGGAATGCGTGATGAAGAGGATGGTTTGTTTTCCCTCTTGACACATGCAGAGGTCCTTTTCCACCTCTATACTGATCTGGTCCCAGTTCATGTGTTTGTGCCTTCTTAAAATAGGGCAAGCAATGTTCATAGTCCCATCCTACAGCCCCTTCTCTGCTCCATCGATTATAATCTTCAGCATGCCCACGAATATACACCATTGCATTGAGAGAAGAGGAACCACCCCACACTCTTCCTCGGGGCCAGTACATAATCCTATTATCCATATGTTTCTGTGAAGTTGTGTGGTAATACCAGTTATATTTCTCATCACAGAGGTTGTAAGTTAATGCAGCAGGCATATGAATCTTCCACATCAGTCTCTTACTACCTAGAAGGGTATCTTTAGGGCCTGCTTCCAAAAGTAGTACAGTACTGAGAGGGTCTTCGGTCAACCTGTTGGCTAATACACACCCAGCTGATCCAGCTCCAACAATGACATAATTAAAAGAGTTTGCCTTTTCAGAACTAAGCTGAGACAATGCACGTGAGATTCTGAATGATTTGTTGATGCCCAATGTGTTCCTTAACAGGTGTGCTTTAAACAGAGCTCCTGTTACTTTGTGCATCTGACTCACAGGGCTGTAACATTTAACTCCTTTGATTAAGTAGAACATCTTTACTAAGAACATCACTCCTACAGTATTTCCTCCAAAATTGTGTGTTTTGTCCTAGAAAAACAAACAAAAAATCCTAATTAAAACATAAGCGTTAGTACAGTGTATGCCCATTTTCATGTTAAAATGTCAAATTTCACCCATTCTGACTATCCTAAGGGTTAACTACAATGCCAATAAAACAGTAATTTACTTTGAAAGTTGTCGTCTTATTCTTTTGATGCATTATATGCACCAGCTGAGTGGCACAGTATTTTACAGGTGAATACCTGCAGCACATTTTCAAGTATTTGCCAAGACCATAAAGAATGGACACCTTTGTTTACTTCGAAGTCTGTCTTCATCTGCCTCTAGTAGATGAGAATTTAAGAAAAACAACAATGTCATACACTGCTCTGTAAGTTTGTGAGTCAGTGGTAGTGTACAGCCAATTCACAACCATGGACATGATTCAGTTGGGAGCACAGTGGGATGAATATTCTTGCTGTAGTTCTGCCAGATCAAAACTAGGATGGTTCTCTACAAGGTACATGTAACAGTGAAATTAACTTTCAGCTATCCCTACATTGAAAAACTACTGTTTTTGAGGTAACAGGTAAAGGCACAATTTGTACATCTGTAGCTTCTCCCTTATTACCCAGAATGGTTTGGGTTGGAAGGGACCTTAAAGATCATCTAATTCCAATCCCTCTGCCATGTTTAACGTGTTTTAGCTATCACTAATATGGTATGCTGTAATGTACTGCCAATCTGAAAAAGACAGGTGAGCTTGCTCCTGGAAATATATTCAACACTATATTATGTTTGTGAAATCCATTTTTTTCAGAAAAGAATTAGGTTATTAATGTTGATTTTCTTACACTTAAGTTTCATAGTTATCCAATATTTTATATTATAAGCCCCACATTGTTGTAAAATATGTTTATTTTCACAAAAAAAGTGTCTTAATGAATCATTGAAATAGTCAGCCTTTTTTTTTTCTTACTAAAAGGTGGAATAAAACTGTATTCATTCTCTCATGTGACACTCTACAATTTTGTGAGAGAAATTTTTGTGAGGCCCAACTCTGTAGCAACATTATATGCAGTCCTTAATTAATGTTATAAGTCTTCCACGTGGAACTGTATTTATTTACAATTTAATGTATGCGCACAAATGCAAACGTAGTTGTCTCTCAGGGAACATATGGGAAGAAGCATACTTCTCTTACTTTTCTCTAGGAAGGATAGTAATAAGCTGTACAAATCCTGAATTTTCTAGAACATGAATGACCAGCTATGTGGGAAAACAGTTGCCCTAGCCAAAGAAAAATAAAAAGAAAAAAAAGATGCAAGGTATAGGTCTAAGTCTAGAATTGACATACCTGATTATCACTTGGCTAATTCAAAATGGATCTCAGCTGAAGTTGGGGGGTTATCGTTTACAGATGGAAAATATTAAAAGGGTTGTTCCCTCAGAAGAGGGTTTTGCAATTTCTGGTAATGAACCAGAGGAGAACAGAAAGGTAGAGAGGTTTTACTTGTGTTGTTTTATTTGTGATGAGGATGGCTACAATTCTAAAGGACATATGCTTAATCTACAGAACTGGTTGGTCATGGCATTTCACAGGAACAGCAGATAGCTGATGGGGTTTGCTGGAGTATGGGCTTGGGCTCTGATAATCTGCAAAAGGTGCTTGGTCAATTACATAAGGAAGACACACTGGCCTGTTTATTTTCGCATGGGATCTATAATACCAACAAATATTGCTGTGCTTTCTGAACAGGCTGTTGGCTGCAAAGCCTATGTATGACCTACATAGGTATTGGCTACAAGAGCCAGAGTAGACTGTGGAATCCCTGAAATCGCATTCAGTTGGAGTGAGTTACTCTGTGTCACAGTCTAAGGGGCAGTGCTGGAGGCTACAGTTCTACAGTTTGCTACAGCATAAGCTGTGCCTCCTGAGCTCCTGAAGATGTTATCTCAAACAACACTCAAAAGGCAGCACTGATATTATGGGTCTAGGTGTTCATGTCCTGTCTCATGATAGGATACTATTACTGAAGTCTAGATCTCTTTAAAAGCTTGTTTGTTGAGAGCCTCCTGTGCATGCAGACTTTGAAACTCAAAGAGCAATTCAAATATATATTGAAGAGACTGGTATCATTAAGTCGTGGAACTAGAACATGATGATACTTTGCTCTCTGACCATGTATGCACCTCTATGAGCATACATGGGTTTACCAGTGTTCAAATTCTTTTATAGTTTTATTGAATTTGCAGGAGTCTTTGAACTGGAGAGCATCAGTCAAATTTAACCTAATATGTCTTCTTTCTAAACTTAGTTTCATCCTGGTCTTTTGAGGGAGAGAATTTATAGCCCACGTCATGTTCCTAAGAACTGTATTTCAACAAAAGTGGGTTTTGGTTGGTTTTCAAACCACTCCTATAACTGCAAAAATCAAATTGTTATCCCAACAGGTACATCCGAGGCTCTGAGATTTGCTGGTGATGCTAACTGAAGCTTACCCAGGAGGGAGCTTTAGTTTTATGGGCAGCTCTATTAAATATTGTGGTGGCTATGTCAAAGCAAAATATCTTGATTTAAGGAGATGTAAACAGCCTGGTTCTAATAAAATGGTTGGTACTTACCAACAACATAAAAGTTGTATTTGCATCTTACTGGGTTATTACTGAATGTCTTTATCTAAATCCTTGTACATCATGGCCCCTTTATAAACATACACATCAAAAGGTTCCTCAAGAAACAGTGAGCAGCCCTGTAGAAGTACATACAGCAACATAAAATATAGTTATTATATTCTGTTAGCTTCAAAATCTGGAGCTCACTTTAAAAATGGTATCTGCTTTCCAGGTAGATACTGATAAGTGGGCCTAGGGACAGCATTCTTAGAGTGAGGAGAGCAAGAGCATCTTAGCAGGAAAACTATTGCTATGATGTAAGAATATCTGTAATCTTACAGTAGGTAGCTAAAAGTGGGCAGTGGAATTCCTAAGTTAGCTGTTACGGGCTCCTTGCAAACTTGTAATGTTTCTGAATGCAGTACTAAGTTTACAGGAGAAACGCTCATTTTACCTATTGGTAACTACCACTGCCACTCTATGGTGGCTGATTTGGGATCATGTGTGAGAAGAGACTTTTCTGAAGTACAGCAAACATATGAAAGGTGAAAAATGAATTACTTTTCATTCTGATTTTTGGAAAAGGAGTGGGGAGACAAAGAAAAAAGCTGTATAGGATATCTAAGGATTAAATAGCTTGTCCTCCTGCAAGAAAGATAAGCAAAAGTCTTAGAAGTCAGCCCATGGACCTTATTTCTAGACCTTTAAATCAAAAGAACTGTCAGTCCAAGACAAAGAGGTTAAGTGCCTTGCTTTCACAAGTGGACATACTGAAAAATGGACAGTAGCCAAGTGGTTCTGTAGGTAGATAAGGTAGCTAATCTAGAAAGGTTAGAGGGCATTGGGAATCATTACTATTAACCAATCAGAGCTGTGCTGTTCTCTGATAAAGCTGGAAATAAAAATGATCCAAGACATACCAAGACAGTTATGGTACCTGCTGTCTAGGCAGGAGGCCAAATTGCTAACAAAAAAAAGGCAGACTCTCTAATGTTCCTTTGAAGTTACTGAAGCAGTATTTTGAATCTGCTCCATCACATAAATTCACCAGATTTATATTTAGATGTTATTTTATGTTTTTGTTGGTGTTGTTTTTGTCTTACATCAATGAACTCATTAAAATGGAACAGGAGAGACAGAGTATCAATGAGATAATTAACTCTTACGTTGCAGCGAGTGGGGAGTGAAGTCAGTCAACAGTGTCCACACCATGGTATTTGAGTGACTTTGAGAATCAGCATGTAGATGATTCACAAATTTCTGTGCTTTAAAGCTTTGAGGTGCAGAGGTTAAATATCAAGCTGTTCTGCTTTAATTTAAATCCAATGTACATAGTAGAAAGCACACTAATATCAAAGTACGGTTCTTATCATATGATCCCCCTGCTCACCCACACATGGGCCTCCTCCCCGCACACTAGCCTACCCTGGTTCCTCCAGACTGATATGGAAACCACATGGAGATGGTTGCTGACTGGAATTGTACGTTGTGCTGTGGCCAAGATGCTCCCACCCCCCGACAGGTGCACAGCGTGTCCCACGGAGGTGGGTGGCTGGTGGCAGTGCCCACAGCTAGCGCAGCCCAGCCCTTGGTGTGGTGCTGGGGCAGCCTGCTCCTGCCGGGCCCGGCAGAGGGGTGTGCAGCCCTCAGGTAACGGCAGCTCCTGCTCCCTTTTGCTGCAGGCTGTGTACATAGTTTACATTTATCTTATGCAGGGCTGTTTTGGAGTAACTCTCCCTTTAGCCTTGCTAGTAAACTAGAGTTCATCTACCCACAGAAATGGCGCGGGAGGTTTCATCTCCACAGCTGAAACTACTCCCCCACCCGACCTGCTCTTCTGACCGACCCCACCCACCCTGCTCTTCCTCAACAACCCACCTGCTGCACGCAACCACTGCTGCTCCACGGGACGGGACGGGGCCTGGACGGGGCACCCCTGGGCCGTGTCCCCTCTTTTCGCTGCCGAGCCTCCTTCGGAGACGCTCGCTCCCCCTGGCCCCTCTCCCCCTCAGCCTCTGCCGGCCCCCACTCACTCGCTCGCACGCCCCAGCGGCTCTCCCCGGGCACCGTCCCTGCGAAGCAGTGGGGAGGCCGGGCAGGGGAGCGGGGCGGGCTGGGCTGTCCCGCAGCAAGGCGCACTTTGCCCGTTGAGGGGAAGGCGTTCGGCTGGCCCGGGGCGGTGTCGAAAACCCCCGCAGCAGCTGCGGGCCGAAGTCCGCCTCCCGCCGCCTGCACGGCGGCTGAGGCAGGGCCCCAGGCTTCGCCTCTCACAGCGGCCCCGGCGCTGAGACCTCCCCGTCCCGCCCCGGGAGTGCTTGAGCTTGTTCCTCCCCGGCCCTGGGCGGGATAACGGGAGGCATTCCGCTGGAAAGAAAGGCGGCCGACGGCGCCGTGGGATCGCTGAGAAACTTGGCCGGCGGGAGCTGGGGGGCTCCCCTCACGGGGCTCGGCAGCTGCCGCCCTTATGCGACTGCCACAGGACCTGCCCCTCGGTTGACTGCCTCCTCTAAGTCTCGCCAGTTTCATTCAGTGGAGGTTAAGCTGTTTTAAAATGTATCGGGGGGATGCCATAAAATTCTGTGGAAAATGACAAAAATGCCCAGGTACGTGTAGTCTGCCAGTCAGAGCTGCACAGCTAGGCTGCTGGGGATGAAACTAAGAGTCTTGTTTTCCCATTCAGAACACTCATGGTAGAATAATGATATGATGAAGACTAATCAAGAGAACTTACTTTCTTCAGAGTTATTTTAAGGACGTTTTCCTTTGTTACAGTATATTCAAAGGTTGGACTTGGTGCTTAGGGACAGGGTTTAGTGGGTGACATTGCGAGTAGGGTGGATGGTTGGACCCAGTGATCTTGGAGGTCTTTTCCAACTGTAACGATTCTATGGTTCAATGCTACTTGTAGATGCTGGTTACTTTCCCAAGTCCTTCCCCATGGCTCTGTTAGGAATAAAGCCAAGCCCTTGAAGCCAAGCTGATGGATATTTACAGTACGTTTGGTTACTCAAAGCTTTTACTTGGTAAGCGAATAAAGACTGTAGAAAACATGTATTCAACGTATATTAATTATACAAAATATATACAAATGTATTAGTATATACATTTAAGAACTATGATTGAGCTCTTTATCCATAATTGCATAGCACCAACTGCTGTGGGAACCTGGTCCCTTGCTAGAGCTCTTAAACACTGACAACACTAATAAGAATCAATAATTATTTTTGGTTTCCTACAGGGGAGGAAAAAAAGTTGCTGATTAGTTGGTTCTGTCAATTTCAAGAAAAGTTCTACCCTTAAATATCTGCCTAAAGCAAGATGTAAAACTGTGGGCTGAGTTATTTGCGAGTAATCCTGACCCTCACATAGAATAGGCTTTGGGGCACCAGGCTCTAGAGCTGGTGATTAGGATCTTTATGGAAGCTATTGTTTTGGTTTTCTGTTGGAGGTGGAAGAACAGGATGGATTCCACTACTACAGCTGTGTTACTACAGCTGGTTCATGCTACATTAAAACTATTGGAAAGGCAACATACAAATACATGGATTAGAATCACATGGGTTAGTGAAATTTCACTAGCAATTGTTTGTGTCAGTATGTTTAAATTATGCTTTGGGGAAGCAAAGTGCTTAAGTTTGTGTGGATGACCATTATTTATTCAGTACTGCTTGGGTAGATCATTTACAGATACATCTCAGGTATACCTAAAATCAAAGGTACTAACTTGTATGTCCTATAATGTTATGTTCGCACAGAATTGAATTGTCAGCTTGGGATACCACTTATGTAGGAGGTAGAATATTTATTTTCTATGAAGTATTTCCTTCTTAATTCTCAAAATCTTCATTGAAGCTTGAAAGAATTGTGGTCAGGATATATATTGAACAATGTTATCAAACTACGGAGTGTCTTCAGTGTTTTTATCTTCTGTTCTTTGGTTAGTCAATGGAGCATATTTTCCATTAACCTGTTTTTCTGAGGTCAATGACAAAATATTCTGTAGTGAAATCTGAAATATTTTATTTGGAAAAATATACATCTTCACTTGAGCTGGTGATTTAAAGACAAAATAAAAATGCATTATTGTGTAAAGGCAAAGCCCATTTGTATTTTGCCATAGAAATTAATATATTTGTAAAGACACCTTAAATACATAGTTGCAACAAGAAAATATAAACTAATAAGTACATGTTCCTCAGGAATAAAACAGTATATAAAAACAGAAGACCGGAAGACTAGAGAGCAATGGATAAATTCCCATGGTAAAATTTTGTGGTTGTAATTCTTGAAGACAGATTAGCATAAATCAGGATTATCTTTAGTGTCAGAAATTTAAGCAAAAGCAGGACACTGTCTTATAGCACAAACTTCAAAAGCTCTGACTGAAGTAGGCAAGAGAAAAAAGGGAGTTTTCTGTACTAGCTGTTTGGATATGCCAGGCTTCAAGTGTATTCAGATTTAACCTGCTCCAGTTTTGCTATACTTCCTTTTGTTGCAGCTAATAAAACTGGTACTACTTTCTATTCTATTTTATACAGGAAACTATATTTGGCTATAAATGACTTGAGGACTATAAACTAAAAAAGAATTAGTTGGTTGACATTCTGTTTAGTAGAGCACCAAGTGTCACAAGCATCTATTACTGTTTAAGTAGGCACAGCAGCTGCTGTACACAAGTCATCTATTAATTTGGAGAATCCAGATCGATGCTTCTCACCTGCTATGTTTTCAAGCTTAGCTAGTGGAAGTTCAGGGCTTATTTGAATAAAATATTTTCTAGACATTTATTCAGAATCTATCACCTTAAGCAAAAAATAAGAATCATGAACTACTTCTGAAGTCATGGTAATGATAATCATTTTTTTCTTTCCATTCCAAATTAAGCAAATGGTAATTAAAACTTCTGGCACTTTCTGGCCTGCTGTCTTGTTTAAACTTTTCTTATTGTGTGCAAGGGAAAACTTCAGACAGAAAAGCCAAGCTTTAATCCATAACGTTGTGCTTGTTTGTGTGTGGCTGTTCATGATGGAAGCTCTTCCCTTCTCTCTTAGCAGAAACGAACTACATGATGTCGTACTGTTTCAAAGCTTCTGCTACTTATTTTTCTTGAACCCCATGTTTATATTTCACTTGAATCCCACATTTCCTACAGGGATGCTATAAAATCTATTCACTGTTTTCTTTCCAGTTAGAAGTGCAATGCATTCGCTTTGTGTGGCACTTTGCCAAGTTTTTTTTTTTTTTTTTTTTTTTTAAATCAATATTTATGTGAACTACAGAAATTTGCACGGTTATGAGCATTTTTGCAGCACCTTGATAACTGCAACATGGAGAAGGGAGGAAATACCCATTGTGGCAAAGTTCTGTGTAGTGTAGTACAATAACCATATTTCTGAGCATACTTAGATCTGAGGATCAGCTCTCATGTTCAAAACACTTTGAAAGTCAAAATCACATTATCTTCATTATACAGACTCTCAACTGCATCATTAAAAGTATCCAGCAATTACAGCAAAGGCAGCTAGAAATAGTTCTTAAATTCAGCAGCTCACACAGCCATTCTCTCAGGAAGGAATTTGTGTCTGCCTGGGGCTCGAGGATTCCTTCCTGCCTCTCCTTTCTATTCTTGCTTCCTGATGCTCAGTAATTTTCCTTCTTTAGGATATCATTTTAAAAAGAGGTGGTGCGTTTTTGTTTTTGAGGCAAGCAGTAATTTCAACAGTTAGCGATGGGCAGATCCGTAGCACCATGTTCTGTTTGTCTTGGTGTTTTGAAGATGAGAAAAATTGAGAAGTTTCCCACATCAAGGACTCCTCCTGCAGGTGTCCAGTATTTTATGGGTTTGTTGTTGATTTGTAGAAAATGGCAATGCTTGGCTACTCAGAGCATCACTGTTTCTGTCCTTAGCTCAGCAAACTAACCCACGATTTTCTTCTGTCACAGTCACATCATTATCTGGATATTTTCAGTTCCTTTCTTTTGCACTGACGTAGAGCCCCCTCCTATGCACCAATCCTTCCCCAAGCGCCAGAATTTCCCTTACTCCTTTCAGCTTCCATTTTCCATTGTTTCATTTGTATTTGGGCATTAAACGATAATGAACGTGTTCCTTAAATGATTCTTAGTAAACTGTTAAAATACTGCTGTAGTGAACATGTAAAATTCAGAATAAATGTCATCCTTTTATTTCTGCACCAATACTTTATTCTCCATTGATCTCACAAAATGTATAATAATTTCTTTGACAAAGTATTGTTAATATTTTTGTCACCTATTAAAACTTGAAAGTGGCTATAGTATCTAAATATTTCTTTAAAGCAATTTAAAATCCTTTATGATGAAAAGTACATAAAGGAATAAAATTGAATAGTATTTTTACCTTAATTTTGTAATGCAATCTTTTAAAGAGACTCAAAATTTCATGGCAGTATGCTTCATTAAATGTGTTATGGCTTACTGTTGCTCTTAGGAGTATGTTTGCATCCTTGAATTTCCATTTCAGTTGAGAGCAAGTTGATGTTTCACATTTTTGCTAAATTTGTGGGAATAATTGCATATAAAATCAAGCAGCAGCAGCACCACCTGCCTAATACACAGACCAAATATTCTAACTTAAAGAGCAAGGGAAAGAAATGAACTGTTTGTGAAAGGAGGAGGAAAATATATGTAAAAAGAGCTTACTTTAAGGGAAGTAAGGCTGATTATCAACCCATTATTTTAATATAAAACAGAGAGAGATTAAGGCTGAAAAAAAATGTTACATTGAAAAGTGGGGACTTGCTGTATTTCTTGCTGTATTGCTTGCTGTATTTCACATATTTTTGTAACAGCAGTATTAACTTTCAGACAAAATGGCAAAAGGGTAGAAACTGTAAGTAATTCCATTTTATCATTTCAATCTCCTCTTTACTAAAGTTTAGAGTTACAGAGGTGTTAAGCATACAAGGGAATAGACGTGTGTTGTCAAACACCTGTTCTGTAAACACGTTTTGTGTTGCGCTGTAATCTGTATGTTTCTTTCCATATTGTAAGGTATGTCATTCTGTATTTATTTACTGACTTTCAGCCTAAGTGCATTAAGTTTTTCTTGTAGTACTTTGAAAATTTGCTGATGGGAGAGATGCTGGGGTGTGTGGGTCGGGGGAAACACTGCGATATAAAGTGCTTGGGAGGAAGCAAGAGGATAATTAAAATTCTTAGCACACAGCTTGGGCTACGAATGATTTATAGCAAGGTTGGTTTTCAGAAGAAAAGATAATTCTGCCCAGATCAAAGAGTTTGTATCATT